CTCTAACAACTACCTTGTTGTCAGGTGCTAAACTTCTGCTCTAACAACTACCTTGTTGTCAGGTGCTAAACTTCTGCTCTAACAACTACCTTGTTGTCAGGTGCTAAACTTCTGCTCTAACAACTACCTTGTTGTCAGGTGCTTAACTTCTGCTCTAACAACTACCTTGTTGTCAGGTGCTAAACTACTGCTCTAACAACTACCTTGTTGTCAGGTGCTAAACTTCTGCTCTAACAACTACCTTGTTGTCAGGTGCTTAACTTCTGCTCTAACAACTACCTTGTTGTCAGGTGCTTAACTTCTGCTCTAACAACTACCTTGTTGTCAGGTGCTAAACTTCTGCTCTAACAACTACCTTGTTGTCAGGTGCTTAACTTCTGCTCTAACAACTACCTTGTTGTCAGGTGCTAAACTTCTGCTCTAACAACTACCTTGTTGTCAGGTGCTTAACTTCTGCTCTAACAACTACCTTGTTGTCAGGTGCTAAACTTCTGCTCTAACAACTACCTTGTTGTCAGGTGCTTAACTTCTGCTCTAACAACTACCTTGTTGTCAGGTGCTAAACTTCTGCTCTAACAACTACCTTGTGTCAGGTGCTAACTTCTGCTCTAACAACTACCTTGTTGTCAGGTGCTTAACTTCTGCTCTAACAACTACCTTGTTGTCAGGTGCTAAACTTCTGCTCTAACAACTACCTTGTTGTCAGGTGCTAAACTTCTGCTCTAACAACTACCTTGTTGTCAGGTGCTTAACTTCTGCTCTAACAACTACCTTGTTGTCAGGTGCTTAACTTCTGCTCTAACAACTACCTTGTTGTCAGGTGCTAAACTTCTGCTCTAACAACTACCTTGTTGTCAGGTGCTAAACCTCTGCTCTAACAACTACCTTGTTGTCAGGTGCTAAACTTCTGCTCTAACAACTACCTTGTTGTCAGGTGCTAAACTTCTGCTCTAACAACTACCTTGTTGTCAGGTGCTTAACTTCTGCTCTAACAACTACCTTGTTGTCAGGTGCTTAACTTCTGCTCTAACAACTACCTTGTTGTCAGGTGCTAAACTTCTGCTCTAACAACTACCTTGTTGTCAGGTGCTTAACTTCTGCTCTAACAACTACCTTGTTGTCAGGTGCTTAACTTCTGCTCTAACAACTACCTTGTTGTCAGGTGCTTAACTTCTGCTCTAACAACTACCTTGTTGTCAGGTGCTTAACTTCTGCTCTAACAACTACCTTGTTGTCAGGTGCTTAACTTCTGCTCTAACAACTACCTTGTTGTCAGGTGCTAAACTTCTGCTCTTACAACTACCTTGTTGTCAGGTGCTTAACTTCTGCTCTAACAACTACCTTGTTGTCAGGTGCTAAACTTCTGCTCTAACAACTACCTTGTTGTCAGGTGCTTAACTTCTGCTCTAACAACTACCTTGTTGTCAGGTGCTAAACTTCTGCTCTAACAACTACCTTGTTGTCAGGTGCTAAACTTCTGCTCTAACAACTACCTTGTTGTCAGGTGCTAAACCTCTGCTCTAACAACTACCTTGTTGTCAGGTGCTTAACTTCTGCTCTAACAACTACCTTGTTGTCAGGTGCTAAACTTCTGCTCTAACAACTACCTTGTTGTCAGGTGCTTAACTTCTGCTCTAACAACTACCTTGTTGTCAGGTGCTTAACTTCTGCTCTAACAACTACCTTGTTGTCAGGTGCTAAACCTCTGCTCTAACAACTACCTTGTTGTCAGGTGCTAAACTTCTGCTCTAACAACTACCTTGTTGTCAGGTGCTTAACTTCTGCTCTAACAACTACCTTGTTGTCAGGTGCTTAACTTCTGCTCTAACAACTACCTTGTTGTCAGGTGCTAAACTTCTGCTCTTACAACTACCTTGTTGTCAGGTGCTAAACTTCTGCTCTAACAACTACCTTGTTGTCAGGTGCTAAACTTCTGCTCTAACAACTACCTTGTTGTCAGGTGCTTAACTTCTGCTCTAACAACTACCTTGTTGTCAGGTGCTAAACTTCTGCTCTAACAACTATCTTGGACTCTCGTCTCATCCTGAAGTAATTGAAGCAGCTAGACGAGCATTGGATGAGTTTGGAAACGGACTCAGCTCGGTCAGATTCATTTGTGGTACTCAGGTAAAAAGGCGTTTATTAAATGCGCGATTAGGAATTAATTTAGTAAAACTATTTAAAACAAGAAACTCATCGATTAAAAGTTGGGTATTTGTAATTCAATAAAACAATATGAACTATACCCTGCTACTATAGTATATCTTATTCGTAACCCCAGAGGTCTTGTTGCCAGTTGATGTAAACAAATGTTAGGGAGATTCGCACAGTAAATTTAAATTTCTCATTTAACGGCTGTTCCTTCAGACAATCCACAAGGAGTTAGAGGATGCAATTTCCAAATTTCATGGAACGGAGGACACCATACTATACATCAGCTGTTTTGACGCCAACGCTGGTATGTTACCATAGTTACACTTCTAGTTACCACAGTAACACTACAGTAACAACGCTGGTATGATCAATGATTATGTTTATAATTTCGTGTTTTTGTAAACATGGCTGTAATTTGAGAAGATATACCATTCTCTGATAATTCCTCGTTCATTAGCAGGCCGGTTATCGTGAATTACATTCAGTTGTTCACAGCCATCTGATATGATTTAGACCGATCAATTACTCATTTTGATTTTTTCTTGTTTGTTGCTGGAAAAAGTTTTGTCTTTGTCAAAAAATAGTTTCCCATTAGTATAGGTCATTCAATTCTGCAAACTTAAAGGAGGGGTTTGATTACAGAGTCAGAATTTGTCGGTGTCCCCTCCTCTTATCAGTTATCAGGCATTAATGCTTTAATGGCATCCTACTATTCCAGGAATATTTGAAACACTCCTTACTCCTGAGGATGCTGTCTTTTCTGATCAGCTGAATCACGCCTCCATTATTGATGGTATCCGCCTCAGTAAAGCTCAGAAACATCGCTATCTTAATCGAGACATGGCTGGTAAGGAAAGAAGAGCTGAAGTAACAAACTCTCGGGGGGGGGGGGGGTCTCGTATTAATTATTTGCTTCCAGAGCCCCCTCTAGGTTCGTTTTTCAAGTAATCTCAAAATAAATATCTTCTGAGCTTACAGGAGTCTGGTCAGTATTCTTCTAGATTTTCTGATTGATGATATCTGTCCGTTGTCAGACCTGGAGAAGCAGTTGTCCGAGTCGGACGCACGAATCAAGATGATAGTTACTGACGGAGTGTTTAGTATGGACGGGACTGTAGCCCCTCTACCGGACATTTGTGACATTGCAGATAGACACGGCGCTCTCGTATTTATTGATGAGTGTCATGCAACCGGCTTCTTAGGTTAGTTTTAGTTGGTAAGCGATTTAAGCTTTCAGTCGTTTTCCTAATACAATTTCATTATTCAAGGGCAAACCTCCTAATTCTAAATAGCACTAGACGTGGAACCCCTAAACTAACTCCCGACTAAAACCCCCTAATTCTAGGTAGTACTGGACGTGGAACCCCTAAACTAACTCCCGACTAAAACCCCCTAATTCTAGGTAGAACTGGACGTGGAACCCCTGAACTAACAGGAGCAGGCAGCAGAGTTCACATTATCAACAGTACTTTGGGAAAAGCTTTAGGAGGAGCATGTGGCGGCTACACCACTGGTCCTAAACAGGTCTGTTTTTTGGAACATGATAAAATTTAACATCTCACTTAATACTGATTATGATAACAAGTTAAATCTTATTACATGTCGCAGATTATTTCACGATGTGTTCTGGTTAGAATTCTCGTTATCCTCTAAACAGAACATACCTTTGGTTTTGTTCATTAACGGTTTTGTCTGTATCATATTACAGAGATGAGGAAGATTTCCCGGAACATAATATCAACCCCGATCATTTAAAAGTTGCTAAACGTTGCACACTGTACTAATTGCTAATTACCACTTACTGGCCCAGGTTGTAGAGCTACTCAGACAGAGATCACGACCCTATCTGTTCAGCAACACGATGCCTCCAGCTGTTGTGGGCTCTGCTATAAAGGTGTTCGAGCTGCTGGAGCACAGTTCCGAGCTGCCGGAGCTTGTTGATAGGAGCACTAAACATTTCAGGTAGGTTTGGTGACGTTATTATAATGGTGTTTGGAGATGAGGTTGTCACAATGTTGCTGCTTAAATTCTTTTTGATGCCAGGATGTACTCTATTCAAAGACCCTCAGATCCGTCTCTTTTATTTAACTCTTAGACGGATTTAATATTTCTACCCTCTGACCTGACATATTTTGATTAGCAATGTTTGCAGTTCTTGTTTTTAAGCCTTATCCCCAACACTAATCTTGTATCTCCAGGAGCCAACACTAACCTTGTATCTCCAGGACCCAACACTAACCTTGTATCTCCAGGAGCCAACACTAACCTTGTATCTCCAGGAGCCAACACTAACCTTGTATCTCCAGGAGCCAACACTAACCTTGTATCTCCAGGAGCCAACACTAACCTTGTATCTCCAGGAGCCAACACTAACCTTGTATCTCCAGGAGCCAACACTAACCTTGTATCTCCAGGAGCCAACACTAACCTTGTATCTCCAGGAGCCAACACTAACCTTGTATCTCCAGGAGCCAACACTAACCTTGTATCTCCAGGAGCCAACACTAACCTTGTATCTCCAGGAGTCAACACTAACCTTGTATCTCCAGGAGCCAACACTAACCTTGTATCTCTAGGAGCCAACACTAACCTTGTATCTCCAGGAGCCAACACTAACCTTGTATCTCCAGGAGCCAACACTAACCTTGTATCTCCAGGAGCCAACACTAATCTTGTATCTCCAGGAGCCAACACTAACCTTGTATCTCCAGGAGCCAACACTAACCTTGTATATTCAGGAGCCAACACTAACCTTGTATCTCCAGGAGCCAACACTAACCTTGTATCTCCAGGAGCCAACACTAACCTTGTATCTCCAGGAGCCAACACTAACCTTGTATCTCCAGGAGCCGACACTAACCTTGTATCTCCAGGAGCCAACACTAACCTTGTATCTCCAGGAGCCAACACTAACCTTGTATCTCCAGGAGCCAACACTAACCTTGTATCTCCAGGAGCCAACACTAACCTTGTATCTCCAGGAGCCAACACTAACCTTGTATCTCCAGGAGCCAACACTAACCTCGTATCTCCAGGAGCCAACACTAACCTTGTATCTCCAGGAGCCAACACTAACCTTGTATCTCCAGGAGCCAACACTTTCTCATTGCTGCCACATCTCCGGTCTCATCGTGGTGACATTGTATTATTTATTTTGACAATTCTATTTTTGTGTGTTCTAGATTAATTTTGTGTGTTTAGATGGAGGTGGTGTTAGTGAGTCTGGGGGTAGAAATATTACCTGTAATACGTATATCCCCAGAACTTGTACCACTTACCCATGCTTTTAGTATTTCTACAATATGGTCTACGACTTTTACACAGCATAATACCCCATGATGTCGTTTATTTTTAATTCTCTTTGCTGTATTGTATAATATGTACTATTTGTAAAAGTTTCAAATCAAAATCAACCTTGTATCTCCAGGAGCCAACACTAACCTTGTATCTCCAGGAGCCAACACTAAACTTGTATCTCCAGGAGCCAACACTAACCTTGTATCTCCAGGAGCCAACACTAACCTTGTATCTCCAGGAGCCAACACTAACCTTGTATCTCCAGGAGCCAACACTAACCTTGTATCTCCAGGAGCCAACACTAACCTTGTATCTCCAGGAGCCAACACTAACCTTGTATCTCCAGGAGCCAACACTAACCTTGTATCTCCAGGAGCCAACACTAACCTTGTATCTCCAGGAGCCAACACTAACCTTGTATCTCCAGGAGCCAACACTAACCTTGTATCTCCAGGAGCCAACACTAACCTTGTATCTCCAGGAGCCAACACTAACCTTGTATCTCCAGGAGCCAACACTAACCTTGTATCTCCAGGAGCCAACACTAACCTTGTATCTCCAGGAGCCAACACTAACCTTGTATCTCCAGGAGCCAACACTAACCTTGTATCTCCAGGAGCCAACACTAACCTTGTATCTCCAGGAGCCAACACTAACCTTGTATCTCCAGGACCCAACACTAACCTTGTATCTCCAGGAGCCAACACTAACCTTGTATCTCCAGGACCCAACACTAACCTTGTATCTCCAGGAGCCAACACTAACCTTGTATCTCCAGGAGCCAACACTAACCTTGTATCTCCAGGAGCCGGATGACGGAGGCCGGATTCACCTTGTCCGGTTCAGAGCACCCGATCTGCCCTGTTATGTTGTACGATGCTGCTCTGGCTTCCTCTTTCGCTGACCAACTTCTCCAGAGGGGAATATACGTCATCGGCTTCAGCTTCCCCGTCGTTCCAAAAGGTTCGCTGTTTTAGGGCTACTTTCTGATAGTCCTACAGGTTTAGTAGAACTATTCCCTGTGTTTTTATCTGTGTTTCTTTCTATACATATAAATGTGTATTCTGCTTTATGTGCGATATTTTGAATCATGATGGTGAAGGTATGTGACAATAACGCCCCCCCCCCCCCCCCCCCTCATGATGGTGAAGGTATGTGACAATAACGCCCCCCCCCCCCCCTCATGATGGTGAAGGTATGTGACAATAACGCTCCCCCCTCCCCCCCCCCCCCCCACAATAACACTCTCTCCCAGGTCAGGCTCGGATCAGAGTACAGTTATCAGCTGCTCACACTATGGAGGATATAGACAGATGCGTGGACGCTTTTATTGAGGTAGGAAAAGAGAAGAACGTCATTTAAGTTGTCTGAAGGATATTTAATTAACTGGTGGGAGAGTTCAGCTCTGTTTGAAAGGAAAAGAAAATGGTTGAGAATCTGACCGTGACCCTCGTTAGGATATTATAGGAAGTTTTATATTTATATAATTCATATTAATATAATTAGGGAGTTAACTTGTTTGTTTTTAGACGTGGTAAATTTAGGTTTCGAAGGTAAAATCAAGCGCCATTATTTATGAGTTTGTTGTGACCCTGCAAAGACTGTTCTTACTCATTATTTCTATTGCCACGTTTTTAAATTAATTGGCGTTCATAGCAACAAAATGTGTATTTGTTTATTAGAATTATTGAACTATTATTATTTAACTATTATTATTTAACTATTAAATGTTATTTAACTATCAATTAACTAAGTATTTATTTATTACTGCAAAATTAGATTGAGTGTTAATTTAAAATTATTTGTTCAATACACTATTAAAACTTCCTGTATGAAATAGTTATTTAAAAATTTAAACATTAACGACTATTTTTTCTTAGATTCAGTTTGAGACTTAAAATAATTTAAAACTTCAGTCTTATCTCTGGTCCGTTTAGTTTGTTCTCAAAATTTGTAATATTTATTGGTTTATTTATTAGATTGTTAGAAACTTTTCTTTTTATTCATTATTTATCTTTGAAGATATCGCCATAATGTTTGTATCCCAAACAACTTATATTGGTAACATTTAAAGTTGGCGGTTAAATTGCGAAGTTTAGTTTTAGTTTATTCTAATAAAAATACTCTCAAAAACGAGAAGAATGTGAAATTCCAACCGCCAACTTCAAATATTTCCATTTTGTTGTGGTAACCAGTTTATATTTAGGTCTTTATTCTCAAGACAGCTGTTTCACTGAATATACTAGTTTTTAATTTATGCCAAATATTCAATCGCGGAATTACTGATTAATCAGTCATCTCATTTTACACTATCCATCACGATATAACAAGATAATATTTAAAACTCTTCCCATCAAGGTTACACACATAGTAACCATAGTAACAACAGCAAGGTTACACACATAGTAACCATAGTAACAACAGCAAGGTTACACACATAGTAACCATAGTAACAACAGCAAGGTTACATGACCGTTCATCTCCTTCTCCTCCTCCTTCTCCCCGCTCTCGTATACAGCTACCACTGCTACGATCAGAAATGCTGGGGTGTGGGAACCAGGAACTCCTCCTACATTGCCTGTAATCTAGAGTGGAACCACTGCAAGTCAGATAACGATGGGAGACCACTTTGTTTGGAACATTTTGATACCGTAGGTAGGTCAGTTCAGAGATTCTAGGAACTTTCTACTTTAGCAGTAGGTAGGTCAGTTCAGAGATTCTAGGAACTTTCTACTTTAGCAGTAGGTAGGTCAGTTCAGAGATTCTAGGAACTTTCTACTTTAGCAGTAGGTAGGTCAGTTCAGAGATTCTAGGAACTTTCTACTTTAGCAATTTGGACAATTTTATCCTTTTAGGACCCGTTTTTGAGCTAATTCATTCACAGAATCGTTATCACTTCATCTCCCCGCTATTAAACTGTCCTCTATATTATAGGTCTAACTCCGCATTCCCTGTTGCCAGGGTAACGCATGTATCACGTGACGCTGTTGCCAGGGTAACGCATATATCACGTGACACTGTTGCCAGGGTAACGCATGTATCACGTGACACTGTTGCCAGGGTAACGCATGTATAACGTGACACTGTTGCCAGGGTAACGCATGTATCACGTGACACTGTTGCCAGGGTAACGCATATATCACGTGACACTGTTGCCATGTCTAACCCCGCATTCCCAGGTATAATGTGCGGAGACCAGTGTAAGTGCGAGTATGATCCGAGAGGAAGTGCTGGATGTCACTGCCCTAACAAATACATCCTCATTCTAGCTGTTCTATTGGTCGGAGTAGCACTGTCAGGTTTATAGATCACTCTCATTTCACTTTATATAAACTTTATACAGGGTGGCCCATGAAAGTCTACCCATCCTTATCTCTTAAAATTGTTACAGGTCGCTGAGATCTTGCTAATTATTTTAAAAACAAAAAGTGGCATAACTTATGTTCTGATAAATATTTTTTCTTCTAAATTTCACAGAATGTTAATAACAAGTAGATGAACCTTTGTGGCAAGTTTTGTGTGATTGAGAGCTTCACTGAGCTTATTTGACCAATTAAGCCCCTGAGCGAGCTAGCTTGAATTTCTCACCCAGAACTGTTTACATTGGTTAATAGAAACCACCAAAAAAAATCCTGGGTAAAAAAATTAAAAAACCACCGATTTATTTATGTTTTACCAATTCTATTCACCACGATGCATCGCACATTCCATTCTCTACACTGCTGTACAGTGTACATCCTATATTTTAACTGCAGATAAGGACTATCACAGATGATCCTTCCTGCTTGTTTATATCGTTCTGCTCACTTGCCTTAACAAATTTAAAATTATAGCTGGATGATTAGCCTACAATTTTATCGATTTTACAAACGGTGGTTTGAAATAGGTTTACAGCAGGTCAGCCGATTCCCATGAGATGAGTAAATAAACTTGAAAAGAAAACAAACGATAACGTAGATTTCCGGTCGATAATCCATAATCTTATGAATTCTCATGGGAATTTTACGATAGCAGGGATAGATTTCCCCCTTAAAAGTCGCAACAATTTATTAACCATTAACGATCATCTTATCATGCCTCTACTAACTGTCCAGCAACGGATATTTATTGTTTCTGAATCCAAGGATACCCCCTTCGCAGCTCTTATCCAACTGTTCATAGCGAAATTCCCTGGAATCACTCCCCCTACTAGGAAAGCAGTCTACAACCTTAAGAAGAAATTTACAGAACATGGAGTTGTCACCAACCGACAAAAGGATGCATCTGGTCCACCATCTACGGGAGTGACCTTTGAGAACACTGTGGCTGTAGTAGGATCTGTGGCAGACCACCCCAGGCAATCGACCAGAAGACGTTCGGCCAATCTTGGCATACCTAGGACGACTTTGCAACGCATTCTGAGGACTGAACTGAAACTGTACCCTTATCGCTGGACAGTTCACCACACTCTGCAGCTTCAGGATCCACCAGTTAGAGTACGCTTTGCTGACTGGTTGCTTCTGAAAGATTCCACAAACGAGGACTTTATCGGAAACATCTGGTGGACCAACGAAGCCAAGTTCTGCCTCCACGGTTCCGTCAACAGCCACAACGCAATACACTGGGGCAGCCAGAGACCTGACAGCGTGCAGCAGAGACCTACTCAGAACTCTCCAAAGCTGAACGTCTGGTGTGCGATCTCTTCTCACGGAATCATCGGACCATACTTCTTCAAGGATGCAGCTGGTGCCACTGTAACTGTGAACGGAGATCGCTACCTACAGATGTTGCAGAGCTTCTTTATACCAGAACTCTTCAACTTCTGTGCACACCACGACCTGGATCCGTCTCTCATGAGCTTTATGCAGGACGGGGCGAGAGTGCACATCCCCAACCGCATTATTGATTACCTTGGTGACCAGTTTGGGAGCATGACGATCGGAGAGAAACTTGCTCAACACTGGCCAGCCCGCTCTCCTGACCTCACTCCTTGCGACTTCTTCCTGTGGGGATGGTTGAAGGATAAGGTCTACGAGAGTCTACCCATCCCCAACCTTGCTGCTTTAGAAGTTGTCATTCGTGACAACTTGCGGAACATCCCCATCACTCACTGCCAGAACTCCTGTTTATCAGTAGCCAAGAGGATGGACGTCCTGAAGAGCCGAGGCGGTGGTCACATTGAGCACCTTCTCTAAACGGTGATTTTAATCGCCAACACAAACGGTGATTTTAATCGCCAACACAAACGGTGATTTTAATCGCCAACACAAACGGTGATTTTAATCGCCAACACGGCGGGCAATGGATGAACCTTCTCGTGGTGCCTGTCGAGAAACGCAATTCAATTGATTTCAGTATCGATAAAATTGTAGGCTAATCATCCAGCTATAATTTTAAATTTGTTAAGGCAAGTGAGCAGAACGATATAAACAAGCAGGAAGGATCATCTGTGATAGTCCTTATCAGTTAAAATATAGGATGTACACTGTACAGTGCAGCAGTGTAGAGAATGGAATGTGCGATGCATCGTGGTGAATAGAATTGGTAAAACATAAATAAATCGGTGGTTTTTTTATTTTTTTACCCAGGATTTTTTTTGGTGGTTTCTATTAACCAATGTAAACAGTTCTGGGTGAGAAATTAACGCTAGCACACTCAGGAGCTAATTTTGTCAGACAAGCTCAGACTCACACAAAACTTAGCACGAAGTTGTGTCTAATTATGATTGACATTCTCTAAAAATTTGAAGCAAAAATATTAATCAGAACGTAAGTTATGGCGCTTTTCCATTCTGAAATAAAATAATTAGCAAGATCTCAGCGACCTGTAACAATTTTAAGAGATAAGGATGGGTAGACTTTCATGGGCCACCCTGTATAAACTTACTTTCCTTTATCTGAATTCACCTTATCTAAACTTACTGTTCGTCTATCAAAACTTACCTTCTTTTATCTAAACTTACCCCTTAATTTTATTTGAGTATTTTAAAATTGATCCCCCAATTGATCTACAAATTTAAATTGTTTATTTTCAGGGATTTCTTGGTTCGCATACTATAGATGTCGAGGAAGGAGGAGTGATAATTCAAACAACGAGTTATACGGGAACGAGATCTAGATGAGATAGTAAGGAGCTATCTTTATGAAGGAGCTATCTTTATGAAGGAGCTATCTTATCAATGACGGAGTAATTAACTTCTAAGTCAAGGCTATCGTAATAGACTCTAAGGTGATAATTAATATGATTTGAAACAGACTCACTTTTCAATTTGTGAATGTTTTTATACTATTGGGTTGTTGTCACCAACATTTAACTAATGTCAACGTTGGAAAGGGTGTATCTATTAGGTATGTACCAGGTATGTACCAGGTATGTACCAGGTATGTACCAGGTATGTACCAGGTATGTACCAGGTATGTACCAGGTATGATATGTACCAGGTATGTACCAGGTATGTACCAGGTATGTACCAGGTATGATATGTACCAGGTATGTACCAGGTATGTACCAGGTATGATATGTACCAGGTATGTACCAGGTATGTACCAGGTATGTACCAGGTATGTACCAGGTATGATATGTACCAGGTATGTACCAGGTATGTACCAGGTATGTACCAGGTATGTACCAGGTATGATATATACCAGGTATGTACCAGGTATGATATGTACCAGGCATGTACCAGGTATGTACCAGGTATGTACCAGGTATGTACCAGGTATTTACCAGGTATGTACCAGGTACCAGTAACAACTCTTTTACCGTATAGTTCTGTTCAGAGTCACCCTCCAATATATTCGGTAAATAGGGGTTACCTAAAAACAAAATAATTAGAGTCAGTTATTAAGTTAGTAGGAGTAATTAAATTATACCGTTTGTGTTTTGTCCTAACCTAACTTATTTTAATTTTAATTAATAAAAATGGTGCATCCCTTGAAGTCAGGATTATGTAAACCCGGCAGACTCTTTGTTACTAACTTAGTATATAGGGGAACACATACAATACTCCACGAGAGTTACTCAGTGGTTATTGGGTTTGCTTTCTAATTTATTGTCGTTTGTGGCTGTATTCCAAGCTGAAACCGAGTATATTTTTGACTATTTATAGTACAGACAGATCTGTCTGAAAAAAACACATTTAATGAATTCTTGTCTGCACGAACTGGTAATTTGTTTCCATATTTGGGCATATTGCCCTGGTTTTTCTGTTTGCTTTATAAAGGGTTAAAATTTCAGTTGTTAAATTTGTATTCAATTTTAATCGCGAATCGTTTTTATGAACTATGTCGATAATTCTAATTTTATACAATCCTAATAATTTATTAGTATATCACAATCAGCGTTATTGCATATCGATTTTTCCACGAATATATTGTAATTTGCATGGATTTTAATTATAAATACAGTGATATTTATCCACAGTTTATGTTATAAATGCTTTACGATCAATATTTCTAATTTAGAATTAAACCGTTTGATTTTGTATGTTTTCGTTTTTATTTTTTGGCTGTATCACGATAATTATGGGTTCGCCTGCATGGCCCACAAGAGGATAGTATAAAGATGCTTTGCCTACCCGTACCTCTGAAGTTTGGCACTCCTCCAAGAAGATGTTGCCGGGAGAAATCGATGAAGTGGGTAGTGAGATCAAAAATCAATAGTTCCCACAGTCAGACAACAAATGAGTTAAAAAGTTCCAACAAAATCTTTATAACATAATTGGTAAAACATTTTCGGACATTTTCAATACCTAATAAGGATAAGGGTTAATACTCCAATTAAATTAGAAAATTATGATTAAAACTAAGGGATGTTAGATAAATAAAAGTCAAACTCTCAAAAAAGGAAATGGAAAGTACTCGGGTATGGGGGGTTGTGAGGCCCCAACTAGTAGAAAAAACACTAGTACATCCCTGCATTAAAGATGAAATAATTTAAGGACCATTATCAAAAGTTTTATTTTCGAATAAAAGTGGCATACCAAAAGGATCACATGAATTAATACCATACGGTTTCAAAGTTATGAGTTTTTGTATAACTTATAAGTAGATGTTCGTTAACTTCTTAATTACTAGGACTAGAATTCTTAAGGATAAAAACATTATAAGAAGCATCAAAATCAGGTCTATTAGAAAGGTTATGTGAGTCTATAACAAGGTGAGCTGCTTAACTATAAGCGTCACTATCATCAGATAAAAAATCATCACTAAGTTGTAAGGAAGGGTCTTTTAATAATTTATAATAGTTAGCTCTATGTTCGGTTACTCTTTCATGCAAAGTCCTAACGGTACGTTCAACAGAGCAGAAAGGAGACGGACATAATTTACAAATGAATATGTAAACTATGTTGTAGCTAGAACAGGTCCCTGGAGCTTGTCTTATCTTGACTCCATTAATACGATAAGATTCCTCACTTCCTATCATGGCACAACACTTACAGTTCCACTGGTGGCATGGTTAATCTGTTTTTGTGTTATTCTCTGTATGTAATTGTGGGTTGAGGAGTCTTCTCCGCAAAGATGCGCCCGATCTTTTAACATAACTGAATAGTCTTTTGCAGGTGTTTCTTTCCTTGTTGGAGGTCTCCGTTGTACTTGTCGTGTCGGTGTTAAGATCCAGGATCTTCCATACTAAACTCATCTAGATTAAGACCTACATTACTGAGTCTCGAGTTTACTTATAATTAACAAATAACCTTCCGAAGTAAAACAAAACCTTCCGAAGTAACGCAAAACCTTCCGAAGTAACGTTAGTTCGGAAGGGGGACTGGTTAGGGTTAGGGTTAGGGTTAGGGTTAGGGTAAGGGTTAGGGTTAGGGTTAGGGTTAGGGTTAGGGTTAGGGTTAGTTAAGGTTAGGGTTAGGGTTAGGGTTAGGGTTAGGGTTAGGGTTAGGGTTAGGGTTAGGGTTAGGGTTAGTTAAGGTTAGGGTTAGGGTTAGGGTTAGGGTTAGGGTAAGGGTTAGGGTTAGGGTTAGGGTTAGGGTTAGTTAAGGTTAGGGTTAGGGTTAGGGTTAGGGTTAGGTTAGGGTTAGGGTTAGGGTTAGGGTTAGGGTTAGGTTAGGGTTAGTGGTTAGGGTTAGGGTTAGGGTTAGGTTAGGGTTAGGGTTAGGGTTAGGGTTAGGGTTAGGGTTAGGGTTGATACATGTTTCGTATCCCAATATCAGAGATAATATGCGCGAAAAGTGGCATGCAACGTATGTCAAGGATTTCTTAAATTTTGTCTCAGGTTTTTTCGCGCGTCTCAGGATTTTTAAATTTTGTCTTAGGTTTTTTCGCTGTCTCGGGATTTCTTAAATTTTGTCTCAGGTTTTTTCGCTGTCTCGGGATTTCTTAAATTTTGTCTCAGGATTTTTCGCTGTCTCAGGATTTCTTAAATTTTGTCTCAGGTTTTTTCGCTGTCTCGGGATTTCTTAAATTTTGTCTCAGGATTTTTCGCTGTCTCAGGATTTCTTAAATTTTGTTATAGGATTTTTCGCTGTCTTGGGTTTCCTTAAATTTTGTCTCAGGATTACCTGCTGTCTTAGGTTTCCTTAAATTTTGTCTTAAGACTTTTCGCTGTCTTAGCTTATTTTGACATCTCAGGTTCGCTTAAATTTTGTCTCAGCTTTTTTGCAGTCTTAGCTTTTCTTAAGCAGTTTGTCTTAGGAATTTTTGCAAATCCAATCCTAAGATCCGAGGCTGGGGGAGGCCTCTGGAGTTTATCTCCAGGATTAAATTATATCGAGTTATATGATTTAGCTATAAGGCGGTTTATAAATGTTGTATTTATTATTATTATAATTAGGACTGTTGATGTGAAAGAAAGTGTATCTAAATTTTACAATGACGTATGTGACAAAATTTACATTTCTTGACCCTATTTTGAAGAACCATACCCCGATTAGAATTCAATATTCTTCCAGGAATTATTGGTAGGTTATTTTTCAGCAAATCAGAACCCAAGTTTAACAATGCTGAGTTTGATATCACTAATTTACCGAAATGTGTCGAAATTTACTTTTCCTGCCCCAACAGTATAATTACAATGTGATGAAAAATGGGCATAGGGTTTCTATATTTCCTGTTTAAATCCATTCCAACTATAATAAGGGCAGTTGATATGAAAGAAAATCTATCTAACTAATGCAATGGCTGATGTGACAAAATTTACATTTCTTGCCCCTATTTTGAAGAATCATACCTCAATAAGTATATAATGTTACTTTATCACCATCACTATGTCGATAAATTAGTTATTTTGCCAACACGGAGCAAATAAAATTATAATATTTTTTTGTGACGAAATTTTCAAATTTTTACCCTGTTCAGGTGTTGAAATTTATCCAATGTTAACATATCACTTCCATATGATAATTTATATGACCGGCGTATGGTTGAAATATTGTTAATTGATCCATAGTACGTAATATAGGATGTTTAAGTTGGTATACTAATATTTACTCAATTTCACACATGTTGAGATATCATACAAATTTATGTGACTAAATTTACCTATTTCTGCCTTCTGTATTTGTATTTGCCTATAACAATGAAATATGTGAACGATTCCAAACACATTCAGCTCACAAAATAATGCTAGACTATTCGGCATTTCTTGTCAGGATGTCATAAACATCCCTCATATAAATTTCTTAAATGTGTGACGGAGTTTACATGGTGCTACCATTTAAGGGAAAAAGTCGCTAAATATGTAGATAATAGTCATATACAGCTATTCTATGAATTGGAAATTCGAAAATTTGGTCAAACACGGCAACAAGGGGTCCATATAAACTCCGTCACGTTTTTATAGTGTGACAAAGTTTACAACTCACTGCCGGCTGCATTTAAGCGATATCTTATCGTCTGATAAAGATATCGTTATGCGACAAGGTTTATCTAGAGGATGAAACGATTATCTTAGGGTTAGAGGGTTTATATATAGTTTCATAGTGTGACACATTTTACATCATCTTCAGTAGGGTCACTAATATTTACCAATATCCTCAAACTTCAATGAACGTGTCCATATATACCAGTAAATTCAGCAATGGTAATTGACTAACTAAAAGATTAAGGTTAGACACCTAAAAGTATACTTCTATCAATAAAGTACTAAATTCATAATACTGCAGAAGTGCTATTACAGTTAAATTCTGTTACCTGAACTCAACTAAACACTGGACAGTTTTTAATATTGGTAATGTTAATGAATTGTAATTGATTGATATGTAATATTTAGGCCCGTGGCCATTTTTCACACACTAAACACTTTTAATATTACAGCATATACTATTATGAAAGATATTTTGTGTCAAATAGAGGTTGTTTAATCATTCTTGATTCTTACACACCAAAGGTGTGTTTTTAATTAATTTATTATTGTTAATAAAGTTTTTATTGAGAATTTTATACATTAGTCTATAGACCAATTAAATTATTTTACTGGTCACGTGTATGGTTAAGAGTTTTATGACATTGAATGAATCTATTTATTACGAGTATTAAGGACTGCTTGTATTTTTTATTTATTTGTTTTCACTTCTTATCTGCACATTTAGGCAGTTGCTCTTGTAACCATAGTTTTAGAGGACTATTGCTTGGTGTAAATCTTCCATATTCCACTTAAATGATCCTTTTTTTTTGTATGTTTTTCTTCTGTCTCTCACGGCCACGGCTAGTATACATACTCATTGGAGATCCAAGAGCCTTATTGGGAGGAGCTTCAGCATGCAATACTCTTACATCTAGAAATGCCCTTTCCAATGTAATGGGTTCCATATACTCCTAGCACTGACATCTAACCTAGCTCCATCTGCTTTGTTGGCCGCAGCAGGAAGTTCTGTCCCGTAGACAGGAAGAAGGAGAGGTTCAGTGGTAACATATTTACAGCCAGCAGTTTGTAAGAGGATTTGCTAACACATCTGTCACTGAATTGTGGTGAAGAGATACATACCCATCCCTTTTGCATATTAATGAGTGATTTATTGAGTTGTCACTTCCACATACACAGTTTCTTGCAGCATTTTTATTCCAAAGTTGTACCTGAGGGCTAGGGCGTCACTGAATTATCTGGAATCAGTAATTGAATTATCTGGAATGTGTATCGTAAGTGCGTCTTGTACCAGAGGCGGCTCGTGGGAGCTGGCTGGCAGTTTTGTTGGGGGTCCAATCGATGGACTGGGGGGGGGGGGGGGGGGGGAGGGGGGCTTGGGAGCCGGCTCAAGCTGATCCCTCCAAACTACCGATTACATTACACACAGGGCCTTGTAAATGTAATGTGTAACACTTTACAGGCGACAGCAAACAAACACAAAAACTTATAACATGGGTGAAACAGGACACCAGTCCACACGTGTACGATCTCAGCCGCGCAGTATCATATAGCAGTCAAATTGCAAAGGGTCCTGGACCCCCAAATCGAGGCAAATCATAATAGATTACCTATAGTGGGATGCGCACGATGTGCTTTGTAACGTTTACAATTAACTATGTGTTAAAACTGCGCAGCTGAGTGGTCCAGGACTCCCTACAACACAAAATTTCACGAAGATCACGCGTGCGCTTACATTAAAACGTATCATAGTAAATGAAGACCTTTATATTGCGATTTGTTATTTCCTAACACTATTACTAATTACTGTCTCTATTTTAAGCACCAGCCACCAGATAATAATTTTAAGGCGTCCACGGACGCCTGGACGCCCTCAATAGCCGCCTCTGTCTTGTACATGTACGAAACTCTCATTTCATACTAAAATATTTTCAGCATGGTTTTAAAGATTAGATCAATTCAACTTGCTTAGTACCATGGGTCGCATAAGAGTGAACAAGACTGTCGAAAAACCTATAAGGAGGGAAGAAAAGAAACCTATTACTGCATATAGAGCAACTAGATTGGTAATTTCGTTTTCAGTAAGATTATATAATTCTGGTTTAAAATTATAGTTGTATGATTTATTATATAATGATATATTATTATTATCACGAAAACTGTATTTTGAATTATGAGACTAATAATTTATAATATTTCAGTGGAATCAAGTGGTGAATGGCTTCAAGAGATTTATGCCTCTAAAACCTCATCGTTTGAAGCTTCAAGTCTATGAGGACAGTTTTAAGAGAGATGAAGGACAGAAATGGCTTGTTGAATTCATAGCCCAGACTGGATTGTTGAAACCCATTTCTATGGAGAAGGCGGGGACACTGATTGACAAATTTGTTCAGCTTGGCATAATTGAAGAGGTAATTAAACATATATCTTTTTTCATGAACTGTCATTTTGTTTAGTTGAGAAAACCCACATTCCTTTTGCCTTAAACGCCACGTCAATTTCAAAGTTTCTCACAATGGCTGACCTCAACACATACATATTTAGTCTGATGAAGCCCAGTACTTTGTTGAGTCTAGCTACCATCAAACTATCTTATCTTCACAGGTTTGCTGCTCCAAAAACTGGCTGCGCTCTCCAACTGTTCTCTACAAATTTAGCTGTGAAAGTAAATTTCGAGTAGAAAAGCTAAGGTCACTTCGATATTATAGGTCAGTATTATAGGTCTGTGCTCTCTGGTTCCTTTTCTACTTTTCAGATATTTTTTCAAGTTCCTGTTACTTATTTCTATTAATTCTACTGTTTGTTATAACATAGTAAGATTTGTAAATTAATGACTATTACACTTAATCAGTCGGACGCCTCTAAAAGGAACACCTGAAGTTGACCTGAAGTTGGCTAAAGCTGAGATGTCCCCCGTAAACCCACCTCTGCGCTCCCATACTCCTATGTACGTTCCTGGTAGAGAAAATCTCCTCATGTACAAGAACTCTCCCAAGGTGGGATTCAAGGAGGGTTCTAAAACTCCCCCTGCACTGAGAAAACTGCTGAACAACAACAACTTGATGTGTACTCCTTGCAAACAAAGTGAGTTTAAAAATTGAACTTAATTTTAAATAAATAGTTTGTAAAACCACGGAATGAGCTATGTGCACTACAGAATATGTTTCCCGGTGATTATGTTCCAGAAATGCAATTGTTTCAGTTCAACAATATAGTTACATCATGATCGTTAAGTGTCCAGTGTTCACTTAATTCCGAAGGTAAGTTGGTGTAAAAGGGATTAATTTTAAAGCTACAGTACTGACTGCTGTTCCTCTCAATCAATTTCCATCACTCCTTGATTGCATGCTAATAAGCCAATTTCTATCCAAAGATTATTTCTGTGACCTTTCTTGTTTTCTTTAGAAATTATAAAGTTTATAAAAACCGGCTCAGATAATTAGACAACTTAGTACTTTTTATCGAATTTCACCTCGAAATAACATAGAATCGATCTGTTATAGCTGTATCTTATTTCCAGTGTTATATGACTGTACAGAATACAGATTCTGTAATCAAATCACCAGTGTAAACAAAAAACGTAGAACTTATATATACGGTAATGAAAAGTAATAGTAAACGTTAAGAAGAATAAGGGTTAAGTTTCTGAACTTATATGAATCCAGGTATTCAAAATATGCAGGTTTTGGGTAAATGCCAGCTGAGTAAAGTGCCAGCTTTGTCGTGCCACCCTGCTCTATCATACAGGGTGGGCCAAAAGTCAGTACCCATACGTTGGCCTTAATAGCTCCGCCGTGTTTTATATTTGAGAGCTGTTGCTTTGCAGATGGCATACTGTACTTACTGGTTCGAGGATTCCGTCGTCAAAATTTGAAAATTCGAATATTTTAGACCACGCCCATTCAATATTAAAACACCTATATTGTTTTCTCTGAACATGCTGAACGCCTAATGTTTTCAGAAACGGTAGATTATCAAATGTTGCATATGATCTAAAAAACATGAGGAAAAACGGATTAGAAATGACGAAGTTATCAAGCATTTTGTGTATCTCGTTAACAAAATTGACTGGGTGATTATGTGACACCGTGACACGACACCTTAATTGGGCACCCTTAACAATTCCCATAATGTTTAACGGGGTAGTTAACGGGGTCACCTTATCACGTGATTAGGTAAACCAATCACCTGATCACACGTAATGAAAAAACTCGTTTTGCTTCATATCTCGGTCATCTGAGAAGCTACAGTTCTAATTCTTTCAGGACAAACGAAATTTGAATGGCCAAACACAATTCAATAACATTTAGCTTGATCCGACTATCCAAACTATCAAATAAATGTGAAAATGAACTTCCATTTGAAAAAAATGAACGCGAATATTTTTCGAGTTGACAAATTCCTCGAACCAGTGGTGGTACTAAGTCATACCAGAAGGAAGTATTTAAATTGGGCACTCAGTGACTGAGCTATAAAGTCCAACGTATGGGTACTGACTTTTGGCCCACCCTGTATATATAACGTAAATTTGTCCGGTTCACCGCAAGTTCACAGCTCACACTTAATTACTAAATCGTCACACTCTTACACTCTACAATCTACATTCCCCCGAGAATAGAGTATCAAGACACCACTCTGACTTGTAATTCTCCGTTATGTTGCGTATATTTGTTATATCGATCATTTTAGTAGTTCCCAAATCCAACGCGGCAGATAAAAAGTACAATGCACTGCAGTTCGGGACCACAAAACACGACTACATAAGATTCAGCTACAACATGACTTCTCTCCGCAACTCCTTGTCCGTCTGCACGTGGATAAAGCGAGTATCCACCGACTCTGCAATTCCTGTAGTGTTTGATTACTTCAGCTGGGACGACCACGAGATCTTGATCGGCTCTGACGGCAGATACAACAGAATGGTGGGAGACCATGTTATAGATAACTCACACAGATTATTTACAACTAAAGTTGGACAATGGTTCCACTACTGTCTAACGTGGTCCTCAATATCAAGAACAATCCAGCTTTTTCTAGACGGGGCACTGACAAGAACAAGTCAGACATCATCAGGGAGACAACTTGCTACCATAGGTATTATAAGATTCAACAGGTTGGAGAACACTGACAGTGCCGCCTTTATTTTTGGAGGACAGTTATTTCAGTTCAATATTTACTCTGAGGTTCTCGACTTAGTAGCTATTAAGAGAATGGCAGAAGGAGGCTTGTGTTTTGATTTAGATGGGTTTCCTGGAACTAGGATCCTGAGCTGGGAGGATATAATGACAAAGTCAAGAGCTGGGTCTGTGACTGAGGTTACTGGATGTGATTTAAACAAGGACACCACTCAAATTAACAGATATTCTGAAGATCTGTGACACGGGCGATTTGTTATCAGTGAATAGAACGACTTTAACGGTCGGGAAATATAAAATTAAAGTTGATCTGAGGGTAGCTAGAGACTTCCACGTGTTCTGCAAACTGTTGGAATGTAGATGAATTGTATTGTTTTTATATTCAAACCAATACCTTTGTATTTATTGGAAAACCTCGTGTAACAGTATACCCAGGTATGTATATCTGATTACTGCTGAGTAAAGAGTCTAAACTCTCTCATGCTAATTAAAATAGTTTCCGCTGGGCTGGGTTATATCCTGAACATATTAATTGGGCCTCTAATCAGCTTCCTTGCTAACTGTTATTATGATCACGTGTGTCTAGGAAGCAACCTGTCACCTTTCTTGACACCTTACAAGTCACACAAGATAATCTCTCTTCATTTAAAATATGTCTTCAAGATAATTGGAAGGGTGCATGTCTACTTCAACCGTCTGTAAACTTTACCACGGCCCCGTGTGGAGAGACGTTATAGCAGGTTCTATAAAGTCTCTAATATCTGCTAAAAAGCAAGCTGTACGCAAGGTTTATACAGAAATACCTCCCTCCATGATCTGACCATTAGTTATTTTTACCAATTAACCAAAAAACTGACCTTTCGCATGTATCAATTTCAAATCGCGAATGGAATTGAAAACTCGCGATTTTAACCTTAAAGGATTACACGTGTACGAGCAAGCACCGATCAACAATGCTTATTTAATTCTCCAATTTTCTGAAGTGATTAGTCAAGGTGATCCATAGTTCATAAGTACGAACTAACTGTACAATTATCTAGTTTTTATTGGTCAGTCATAGGGTGATAAGAATCAAAATTTTAGAACAGGTTAGCGATTCCAAATATCATAAATTTTCAGCTGATAGGTCTTTTCCATTTCGTAGAAAAGAAAACCTGACCCATAGTCCCGGACTTAATTCGATCAGCAGGGGTGTAGGAAGAGGGGGGGGGGGGGGCAGGTGGGCGACCCCCCTCCCATATAATCTCGAAAAGGGGCCAACTTCTTGGCCTCATTTGGCCTATCCTGTCTAACTGCAGTCTAACTGCACGATAGTCGATAGATGCCGATTTATAAAACTCAGAAATCATTGCTAGTTACTCTTCTGTGCCGTGGCCCGTGTTCAGTATCTTCAAGTAAATTAGCAGCATACAATCCAGCTGTGAGCTAGCATGAAGTATGAACCAGAAATCTGATAAATTATATTACATATTTTTCCGATATTACATGTCAAGATTCATCAGAAGTTCAGAGGTCTTGCGATTAGAAAATTCAGATAACATTGCTGATAACTCTTTCATGCCGTGGGAGTAAAATAGCAAGACACAGTTTGCCCCTTGCAGTCCAAATTTACATATCACCTCATTGCTAGAATTCATTTCTTAGAACAAATTTTCCAAGAATTATTCCAGTTTCTCCCTCCTTGCATATTGTACCTCTTTGGGAGTGATATCTATAACTGCAAGCATATTTTTCCAAATTTGCAGGACTTTTCCTTTGACCCTTAATTAAATTGGCTCAACAAAATCTTTCTGGATTTATCATTTCACATTGCTAGATTTCAATTCTGGAAGTAAATTTCCTGAAATTTTTGGCGAGAGAATGCAATATGCATCCCTTTTTCGAACTACATTTATTTCGCAAGAGCTGCTTGCATACAGGCCTTAATATGCATTTAAAATTGTATTATTTTTCTCTATTGCCATATTGCTCAGCTAGGCCTTTTACACGTTTTGCTGTTTTTTAAATTCAGTCTGTGGCCAAAGCGCGTGCTAAACTTGAAAAACTCTAAGATTTTGGCCCCTCATGAATAAAATCAGTCCTACACCCCTGTCGATCAGACAAGTCTAATCTAAATTATGAACCTGAAGAGGCTGAAGTGTTTATTAATGATTCAACAGCAATCAGCATATATCTGCAAATATCTGTACGTTCTATTCGTTTGTTATGCGAAATGAAATTGGCAATTTAAAAATAGCTAAAGAAATGAGGAGGGAACTTTCAAAAACTATGTTAACGAATCTGTCACGGAAAACAATTCATCTTCTAGAAGCTTTCATTTGGTGGATATACTCAATATTTTGATCAAACTGTGTGACATCTACAAGGTGATAAAAAAGTGGTAATTGTGGATTTTCCTAAAGTCAGAAATTTTAGGAACTCTCTGGAATGATTCCTGGGGCCTGTCCCGACCATTTCCCGTTAAAATCACTTTGTTGCGAATTTTGTCCGACAAAAAGACGTATTTTGACTGTGCTACTACTTAAAATCATCGACAAAAATACCATGAATACTTAAATCCTTGGATCATACAGAAATTCTGTGTGAATTAATTTGAGGTGGATCAATATTAGTAATAACCATATCCTCGTTACCATGCCATGATATAAGTTAATTCTGTAGTGTTTATTACTATTAGCACATTGATGTTACAGGATGTTGCGATTAGCGCGTGGACCGCTTACTAAAATACTGCAAGCTCGTTTGCTTTCAGCGGATTCCGCATCACTGAAAACCAAGAAAGTGGGAATAATAGGGTTAGGCAATATTGGGAATGCCCTTATCAAAAACCTGGAGAGAACTGGGTATACAGTCACCTCAATCCTGGATATCGACAAAGAGAGGTATGGTGAGTTCGAGGACCGGGCCTTTTCCAAACCTGACAACGCCAAGAGCCTAGCAGAGGAAGTTGACATAGTGTTCACAGGGCTACCCATGCCGCATCACGTGAAGGCAGTGTTCGAGGGAGAGACAGGACTACTCGAGGGGCTGAGTGAAGGTAAGATCTGGATAGATCACTCTACAACAGACTACGAGCAGACAGAGGAGATGTGTGTTCAGGTGGAGGAGAGAGGAGGAAGGATGTTAGAGGCACCGGTGACAGGGGGGTTGGAGGCACTGAAGAAGGGGCAGATGACTGTGTTCATAGCTGGAAATGAGGGTGTTGCGGAGGAGGTGAGGCCTATGATGGATGATATTTACAGCAATGTTATCTACACAGGACGCATAGGAACAGCACTAATACCCAAAGTGCTGTCCAACATGCTGACATGTGTTCACAATCTGGCTATGGGGGAGGCGTTTATGATAGCCAAGAAATCAGGAGTGGATATGAAGACCATGTTCGACTGTATCAGAGCTAGTGCCGGGAACTCGTTTGTATTGGAAACAGGCGGTCCTATGCTCATGCAGGGAACATACGACCCTTCATTCACCATCGCTTTACAGTGTAAAGACAACAGGCTCGGTTACCAAATGGCCACCAAACACAAAGTCCCCATAGAGATCCTAGGACACGCAATGCAGGCGTACAACAAGGCATTGTATAAATACGGGGACGAAGCCCCTTGCTACATTCCTCCTAAGATGCTGGAGGAGGCCTGTCGTACAGACCTTAGGTGTGAGGAGTTTAAAGATTGGGAGTACTCTATACAGAATGTAGATGGAAGTTCTGTGATAAGACATCACGGTATTGATATTAAACGATCTGATAAAAAAGAGCTTAGTGATTTTGAGGTTTAATTTGTCTGCGGTTTCAATCCAATACATTTTATTTTTAAATGTGTTTATTGAATTGAAATAGTATAAATGCTACTGTAACTAGTTAAAAAAGGTAGTATCATTAATCATAATACATAGATTCTTATTCTTATTATGATTTTAGATAGATAAGTGTGACGATATGTATGGTTAATGCTATGTGTATTTATTCGGGTATTATTAGTAAACGTATGTATACGTATGTAAAATGTTAAGGTATACCTGAACATTTTACATAAACCGTTTTCATTTCGTTAAACGTCTGTGTCTACTGTCTGCAATAAATATTTCAGAATATTATACTGTGATGAATAAATAAAATAAAATCTGGTCTCAATTTAAACATGGAATTAAAGAACTTCAGCAATTTTGTCAATCCCCATCAACTGTGTTCAGCCGTACAGCTCCCCCTCCCTCAAATACATACGTTTAAATTATAACTTAGCGAGGTTAATGTTTAGAGGCAGTAAAACGAGCGGGCTGCGATGAATAGGGCAATAATTAGGGTTGGCAGTTTATCTACTTAATTGTTTATCGAGATAAGTAGATAGGATTTCAAAATTATCTAGTCTATAATATCTAGATCATATGTAAGCAGTGATTAATTGAGAGGAATTTAGGGTAATATTGTGTAATATGTAGATAGTGTAATGATTATAATAAGGCGGTCGTGGGGTCCAGTATGTGACGTAGTATTTTGGGCATATATTAGTATACGTCAGTTATTGCAGTTTAAGTGCAGAGAGGTCAGTTTAACATATGTTTGAGTCAGTACGAGGTTGAATTATGGATTGTTTACAGAATACTAGTGATACGATGTTGTGGCTATCGACAGGACAGTTTGCAATTCCCGGGAAATGGTAGATTGTTTAGACTATCAGAGCCCGGGAGGAAAATAGTGTTAGTTTTTGGAGATAGCTCAGTGCCAGTTTACCCGATCGAGAGGGGGGTCATTTTGATACCGGGCAGGTTCTGTAGCTAGAACCTGTTAAGGTTAGGTCGTTTAGTTAGGTAGATGGTTATAGTGGTAAGTATAAGATTGGCGGCCGTAGAATAGTGGAGCATTACGTAATTACTGTTATCAGGCTTGGTTGTGGCCGACACCAGGGGATGTCTTGACAACACTGGGCTCTGGCAGAGCGGGAGTCAGCGCTGGTTGACTTAGATAGGTAAAGCTAGACTAAGAGTAGGAGCTAGAACCGGTTAAGGTTAGGTCGTTTAGTTAGGTAGATGGTTATAGTGGTAAGTATAAGATTGGCGGCCGTAGAATAGTGGAGCATTACGTGATTACTGTTATCAGGCTTGGTTGTGGCCGACACCAGGGGATGTCTTGACAACACTGGGCTCTGGCAGAGCGAGAGTCAGCAATGGTTGACTCAGATAGGTAAAGCTAGATTAAGAGTAGGATTAACGGCAGGAAGTAGGTTGCGTAATATTTGAGGCAGTATGAATCGGAGCAATTAGGAATTTGTTGCACAGCATTTGAGGCAATATGAGTCTAAGTGACTAAGCGTTGGTTGAGCAAATATTCGATTATTCATTGTTCAGTTAAGTACCTTGGGCACCTTTATTATACCCCTTGTTTGCATTCTCACCCTATTCGATAGAGGGTCATGGTTGATACCAGACTAGTGTAAGGGACCAGGACCAGTTATGGTTGGGGCCTGGTGAGCACGGATGGAACGTGTCGTTAGAGGTTTAGAATCGACAGTGGTTATTTCAGGGCACCTAGATTAGGCACGGTCAAGGCGAGTTGACCGTGCTATCCGTGTTTTATGTTGCAGCACTAGATCGCTGAGCGTTTATGGGCGATACGAGTCTGGTTAATTAGGATTTGAAGTAGAGGTTGTCGAATTATTCATTGTATTGTTTCATAGTTTAACTTTGTTTACCCTTTATTATCACGCTCGTTTCCATTGTCCAAACCCTTAATTAAATGCAAATAAACTTCGAACCGGGAAGCAAGTGTCCACTGCTTACAAGTGGCGCGAACGGTAGGATCCTATTTTATTATAGGATAGTTTGTTTTGTATTTTAATTAAGGTAATGGAGACTATTTAGTGTGTGAGAGTGAGTCGACAGAGGTCAGGAGTATTTGTAAATATGTACGTAAACGTAATATTATACAGTGTTGTCAGTTACCATTGTTAGACTAGTGCAGTGCAAGAGCAGTAAAGCTGTAAAGGAATGCTCGGTGAAGTGTAAGAGTTTAAATGGTATTTTTGGGGTTTCTTTCATCATGGAGGGGACAGGGGGTTAGATACCGGAGAGGCACAGGTTAGGAGGGGTTATTTTGAGGAGTATATGTCCGTCCGTTGAGGGATTGGTTCGAGAGAGTGTTTGATGAGTTGATTCAGAGATAACCGGGTCTTATTTTAAGTTTTAAGACGGCAGACTTGACATACTTTCAGCCACCAGAGCCTCAGTGGGAGTGGCTGCCTGCTGAACCGTTCTGTAGTGTGTCAGACTTGTTTTCTTTTAGTAGCGCTACGTATTGTGATATCATGAAAGAGATAGAGGAAGAGATAGAGGAAGAGATAGAGGAAGAGATAGAGAAAGAGATAGAGGAAGAGATAGAGGAAGAGATATTATATAAATAAGACCCGGGTGATGCTAGCATTGGAGGTTGAAGAGAGGTTATTCGGAGAGTGGTGACGTCACTTGTAGGGAATTAGAGCGGTGTATTGATTTGAAAACTTGGAACGTTTTGAAGGGGTTTTTTGAAATTTGAGGGGTGCCGGGGCATGGTATTTTCTATGATGAAAGAAATTAGGACTACTTTTCTGTGAAGAGAGTGTTGAATTGACTGTCCGAATATTTGAATATGAGGAACTGACGGAGATTAAGTCATGGAGTGACGGTGTGAGACACTGATTTATCAATTAGAGTAAAAGCCGAGCAATAGAGAGCTGATAAGCGAGAGCTTTAATTATTACATTTGACCTGTACACTGGTTATTTTAATTATTACATTTTAATTCGTACACTGTTAAAGAGCGGGATAATATTTGCATCGTAATTAGTACATTGTTGAAGAGAGAGACAGTGTTTGTATTGTAAGTAGTACAGTGTTGAAGAGAGAGACAGTGTTTGTATTTTAATTAGTACACTGTTGAAGAGAGAGACAGTGTTTGTATTTTATTTTAATACTTTCAACACTACTATATAACAAATAATTTGAGTCAGGGAAGCGGCACTGAGAGAGGAACTGTTGAAGAGAGAGACAGTGTTTGTATTTTAATTAGTACATTATTGAAGAGAGAGACAGTGTTTGTATTTTAATTAGTACACTGTTGAAGAGAGAGACAGTGTTTGTATTTTATTTTAATACTTTCAACACTACTATATAACAAATAATTTGAGTCAGGGAAGCGGCACTGAGAGAGGAACTGTTGAAGAGAGAGAGACAGTGTTTGTATTTTAGTTTAATACTTTCAACACTACTATATAACAGATAATTTGAGTCAGGGAAGCGGCACTGAGAGAGGAACTGTTGAAGAGAGAGAGAGACAGTGTTTGTATTTTATTTTAATACTTTCAACACTACTATATAACAAATAATTTGAGTCAGGGAAGCGGCACTGAGAGAGGAACTGTTGAAGAGAGAGAGACAGTGTTTGTATTGTATTTTAATACTTTCAACACTACTATTATAACAAATAATTTGAGTCAGGGAAGCGGCACTGAGAGAGGAATTGGCAGAGATAAAGATAGCTAATGAGGTAATGAGGAGAGCGCGGCAGGAGGCTGAGCTAGCAAACGAGAGAGGAATTGGCAGAGATAAAGATAGCTAATGAGGTAATGATGAGAGCGCGGCAGGAGGCTGAGCTAGCATACGAAGAGTTAAGGACTCAATATGATGAATTGAGGCAGCAGGGAGCACAGCTAAGAAGAGATGGATTCAGAGAGGGTAAGCTAGAAGCTAGGCAGGAGAAGGAGACCGAAAAGAGGAGAATCAGAGAAGCGAACAGAGCAGCGGGTAAGAAATACCCATTAATGAAACCTCGGATGTTTGTGCTGGGGAAACACAGCTTTAGAACCTTCCTGAGCGGGTTTAAAATATTTGCCAATGCTGCGGACATCTTGGATGAAGACTTGGTGGACATGATAATGACGTACTTGGACCCCAAGGCACAGAGGAGAGTGGAGACCCTACGATTAACCCGGGACGAGAAGAGAAATGTAGAGGCGAGTTTGGAGAGGAGGACAGAGGTGCTATGTGATGTGCATTCAAAGGCGGGTGCAGGAAGAGACTTCTTGAGATGCGTCAGAAAGAGGAAGAGACAATTTCGGATTTTGCAGCTAGAGTCACTGACATGGCAGATGAGGCATATGCACCGGAGGAGGAGGAGATCAAGAAGACCATCAGGCTAGATGTATTTACAGCTGGGGTATTAAAGGATGAAATCGGGATCGAGTTAATCAAGTCACGAGTGCAAGATTTTGAGGCCGCGCTAAAGAGGGCAGTTAAGTTGGATGGGATCCTGGCGAGTCGTAGCCCTAAAACCAGGGAAGAATGAGGAGGAACTTTTGTTTCAAATCGAGGAGGATATAGAGATGGATGAGGGAGTGATAAACCGAGTGATGGAAGAGAACCGGCCGAGAAGAGACATCGGTGCTTGTTACACCTGTGGACAGCATGGACATTTCGCAAAGGAATGTAGAAAGCCCCCACTTGTTATGGATGCGGGAGACAGGGTCATATTGCAATGGATTGTACGCAAGGACACGGTGGCCGAGGAGGTCTTCAAAGAGGGCAAGATCCTCTTGTACAGAAAGCTATGGACGAAAGAAATTTATCATTGGTAGCAGGTAGAAGAACTGATAAGACATGGGAGGAGACCAACCACCTTTGTCGACAGAGGGGATGGATTACTTGAAGTGGAAACGTGAGGTCGGCATCTGGGAGTTGGGAACTTCGATAGCAGCTGCTAAGCAGGCTGCAGTGTGTGTCTTGAGGATCCAGGATTTCAAGGCAAGAGATTTTGCAACACGCTTAGAGTATATTTATATATATACTCAGAGTATATTTCTAGGTATTGATCATCTAGAAAAGTTTGTTAGACCGGAACAAATGCAAATGACAGAATATATCGCTGAGTTCAAGAAACGATTGAACCGGATCGGAGAGTTGTTAATTACAAGAAAGAAATTTATCATGATGGTATGTTGGCATACAGGTTGTTAACTCAGGCCAACCTGACCAAAGATCAACAGATATTGATCAAAGCTGCAATGGGGACTCAAAAGTTGACGAGTAAAGCAATTGAGGAATGTTTGAAGAGGTGTTTCGGTGACGCTGTTTTCTGTCGTAGATCCAGACTGGAGTTAGACACAGTGAAGATTAAGGTAGAACCTGGATCGGATGTGCATTACCATAGGGGTCAGTTTGATGAAAAGGATACTGATATCAGTGGTGATAACGGAGAATATACATTCTATCAAGGATACAATAATCGAGGACAAGGATGAAGGAAATCGTTCTCTTCTGGCGGTTATAACAATTACTCCAATGGCAGAGGGAGATCTGGAAATTACAGCAGACCATGGGAAAGAGACAAACAGCTCAATTCAAAAGAAAGGAATAACTCAGACTACAAAGATGAGTTAAATGCTATCAGTCACAAAACAGGCGATGTAGCAAGATGTTCAATTTGTGATTCAAATAAGCATTTCCGGGCAGATTGTCAACATAATCCCAATGTTAATGATGTTCGAAAGAAGGATTCGGGCTCAGTGTGTGTGTATCAGTCGTGCAGGAAGGGTTAAGAATCAAACAAAATTGACAATGACTACTGTGAGACAGTGCTGTTAGTCAATGAGACATTTAACAAGGTGTTGATTGACACTGGGACAACCAGTAATGTGTATGGTGATGTTTGGTTGAACACATTCTTAGAGTCAATGCCTGAAGAGTTGAAGAAAAAGGTCAGCGAAGTCGAGAGAAACTGGAGTTTTCGTTTTGGAGACGGACGCGCGGTTGAATCTATCAAATGTGTCATGTTACCCGTCAAGTTGTGTAACAGAGATTTCATGTTAGAAACATTTGTGGTTCCAGGAGAATTACCCTTTTGGTTTTCTAGATGTAGCATGAAGCAACTGGGGGTATCATTAGACATAGAGAATGATCAGATTATGATTGGCGGAGAACGGCAACAACTGAAAGTGACCAAATCAGGTCATTATGTGGCAGATATCATGTTATGGGAAAATATGAAATCAGAGAAATATACCATTGAACAAACTGGTAGGGAAGAGAGTGTAAGGAAAGAGGAGATTGTTGATAGTGATAGTGACAGTGAAGATGAATTCTGTCCGAATGAATCAGAGGAAGTAAGCAATGAACCATCAGCAGAAGGAGTGGAAGTTTCGAGTGAAACTGAAACTTCAATAGAAGAATCTGGTAATGTAGAGACCAGTAGTGAATAAGTGAAGTCAGAAAGTGTCGGTGATGAAAATAGAGACACAAGTGAGCCTGATGAATTTCAGAGTGCTTCTCGTCTGATGAGAATCAAGACTGGGTAGATGTTGTAGTCAAGAGGAATAAGGTATTAGACTTTAAGAGTGAGGATGTCATTAGGTATAACTCAGCAGATCATACCAACGATGTGTGGCAGAGAGCAAGTGTAATTGGACCTGGATGGAAAGAAAATTCTGTAAGGAAGGAAGACATCAACGTCCGGAACTTGGTGAAAGAACCAGAAGGTACAACAATTCAATTGCGTCTCAGTGAGTGTCAAGTGCAGAAAAAATCACATGATTCTCTTAACACAGAGTCTAGTATTGATACGGTGATGATACCAAAGGAGAGATATGGTGAGGTGTGTAATCAGTTTATCATTTTGTGGAGACACAGTACGATCGAAGACAGAGAGCTGATAAATGGAGACACAGAGAGCTGATAAATGGAGACATAGACGGGTCGGAGACGAAGGCTGATAAATGGAGACACAGAGTAGTAGTCGGAGACGAAGGCTGATAAATAGAGACACAGAGTGGTCGGAGACGAGAGCTGATAAATGGAGACACAGAGAGCTGATAACTGGAAACACAGGCGAGTCGGAGACGTGAGCTGATGAATGGAGACACAGAGTGGTCGGGGACGAGTTACGGGAGAATGCAGATAGGCTGGAAGGAGATACAGAGTCAGAATGAGTCATAAGATTTATATAACAGTAGTTATATCGAAATAACAGTGCAATATCATTGATCACAAAAAATCAGATAAATCAGAAATTACTTGGAACTGAAAGAGCTGTCGATATTGAAATGAAAATTAAAACAAAGTCTTAATAAATAACTATCGGAGAGTATCACCCAACAGGGGCGGTGAGGAGAAGATGGTTAACATACCTGGAGTACAAGAGAGACAGTGACACTAGACCCACGGATTGAGATGCGTAGTACATCAACTTGTATTCTGAACAGAGACATCGAACGAGATCCAGAAGAAGACATCTGGAAGGAGAAAAGAGACATGAAACGAGATCCAGAAGAAGATATCTGGAAGGAGAAAAGAGACATGGAACGAGATCCAGAAGAAGATATCTGGAAGGAGACAAGAGACGTGGAACGGGATCCAGAGGAAAATATTCAGAACGAGGAGCGGAGACCTGGAGCGAGAGCCAGAAGAAGATATGTTGAACAACGAACGGAGACTCGGGACCGGATCCAGATGAGGAGGTTCGCAACGAAGAAGGAGACGGGGATAAGAAGAGACGAAAGAGAAAATGGACAGATAAAGTAAGCCGTTAAGTTTGGATATTGTGAAACTTTATTAAATTATTGTACCAGTATAGTAAGGTTCTAAGAAAGAACATATTTTGTAAAGTTGTGTAAGCTGTGATCGGGCAAGAGATATGGTCTATAGTAAGAGATTTTCCATTAAATTACTGTACCAGTATAGTAGGGTTCTAAGAAAGAACATATTTTGTAAAGTTGTGTAAGCTGTGATCGGGCAAGAGATATGGTCTATAGTAAGAGATTTTCCATTAAATTACTGTACCAGTATAGTAAGGTTCTAAGAAAGAACATATTTTGTAAAGTTGTGTAAGCCGTGACCGGGCAAGAGATATGGTCTATAGTAAGAGATTTTCCATTAAATTATTGTACCAGTATAGTAAGGTTCTAAGAAAGAACATATTTTGTAAAGTTGTGTAAGCAGTGATTAATTGAGATGAATTTAGGGTAATATTGTGTAATATGTAGATAGTGTAATGATTATAATAAGGCGGTCGTGGGGTCCAGTATGTGACGTAGTATTTTGGGCATATATTAGTAGACGACAGTTATTGCAGGTTAAGTGCAGAGAGGTCAGTTTAACATATGTTTGAGTCAGTACGAGGTTGAATTATGGATTGTTTACAGAATACTAGTGATACTATGTTGTGGCTATCGACAGGACAGTTTGCAATTCCCGGGAAATGGTAGATTGTTTAGACTATCAGAGCCCGGGAGGAAAATAGTGTTAGTTTTTGGAGATAGCTCAGTGCCAGTTTACCCGATCGAGAGGGGGGTCATTTTGATACCGGGCAGGTTCTGTAGCTAGAACCTGTTAAGGTTAGGTCGTTTAGTTAGGTAGATGGTTATAGTGGTAAGTATAAGATTGGCGGCCGTAGAATAGTGGAGCATTACGTAATTACTGTTATCAGGCTTGGTTGTGGCCGACACCAGGGGATGTCTTGACAACACTGGGCTCTGGCAGAGCGAGAGTCAGCGCTGGTTGACTTAGATAGGTAAAGCTAGACTAAGAGTAGGAGCTAAAACCGGTTAAGGTTAGGTCGTTTAGTTAGGTAGATGGTTATAGTGGTAAGTATAAGATTGGCGGCCGTAGAATAGTGGAGCATTACGTAATTACTGTTATCAGGCTTGGTTGTGGCCGACACCAGGGGATGTCTTGACAACACTGGGCTCTGGCAGAGCGAGAGTCAGCAATGGTTGACTCAGATAGGTAAAGCTAGATTAAGAGTAGGATTAACGGCAGGAAGTAGGTTGCGTAATATTTGAGGCAGTATGAATCGGAGCAATTAGGAATTTGTTTTTGAAAGTGTGTAAAATATGTTGTAGCTATATAGCTTGACCTTCCTAAACATCTCTAAGTCTGATGAAAATATTTAGAAAATTTTGGAAACAATTAGAAAAAAATCATATTTTTTGGGCGAATTACTGTACACCTAAAAATGACCAGAAAACCGAGAAAAACTACCAGTTTTTATTAAAGTACTTTATCTAGATATCTACTTGAAATTATCTAAGTAGATAAAGAAATCATGGGTTTTATCTAGATAATCCTATCTAGGTATTACTTAGATGCCAACCCTAGCAATAATATACACTTCTGTAAATGCTGCGTGATTTGTCAGAAGTTCTACACTGAATGAGCATTGAGGGTGACAGGTTGCTTCCTTGACACACATGATTATTATAAAAGGTACCGAGGATACCAATTAAAGGCAATTAGCCGGGATATGAGTACCCTAGTCTGAGCGACTTTATCACGTGATTTTGAAATCAGTAAAACGTTCATAAAATTTGAAGTTCTAAGGAAAGCCGCCGAATCCTACGTAACGGAAGTTCTGCATATTAAAACATATAATTTATGTCTTCCTTATTGAAATATTCTTTATCTCTGACATTGCGCTCTTAGTGGTACTTGGTTAGAAGTTTGTCACCTCACTCAGTCACTCACAGGGATCCTTAAAATAACCGCATTCTACCGCCAATTTACCAAATTTACAGGAGATAAAAAAACAGCATTGGCATTGCAGGCCTTATGATGGTTATGAATGTAATTCTTTACCGCTTGTTAAACGAGGGATGATTATGAAAAGTGACCCATAGATCTGATGATCAGTCCTGCTGTTTCTATTTAATGTCCAAGAATAATGATACAGGGGTTCTCACAAATTCCCCCCCCCCCCCCCCCCCAATTATTTTAGGGGGCATTACCAAGACAGTGACTTCTAATTCTTCCTTTCGCAGAACAAAATCTGAAAGTTGATCTTGTGTTCTCGTCGACCCCCAAAGAGAAACGAACTCCACTCACCCGCAAATCTACACCCAACATTCTCGATAACGCGCAGTACGACTCACCTTACGCTCGTGCACTCACCAATATACGTAGCTCACAGAATGTGGCAAGGAGACTGAACAACAAAGGAGTTAAACGTCTCGGCAACAAGGGTCCTCTCAGAAAAGGTATTTGAGATTGTGTTCCTTCTTTGAGGGGGCGGGGGGGGGGGTCTTCATCAAAATTATCTCGAAATTGATTTTATAGTTGTTTCTGATAGAGGGGAGTGATATCTATCAGCTGCTTTTAGTCCCATGGAAAAATATTGTTCCTAGCCGAAATTATCGCTGGTCAAAGGTCAGCGCTCATGTGTAATTGTATTGCACGAGCGATTTTCAATCGTGCGTCCTGAAAATCGAGTCTAAAAATCTATCTTCTCCTACATTTTTTGAGCAATCACCCTGAAACTTTCAGGATATGTTCTAGGGATCATTTAGAAGAGAAGTATCAAGCCGAATTTTGAGATACAAGAATCAATAGTTCCCACAGTCAGACAACGAATGAGTTTAAAAATTCCAACAAAATCTTTATAACATCATTGGTAAAACATTTTCGGACATCTTCAGTACCTAATAAAGATAAGGGTTATTAGAATCTTTAATTGCTGATACGAGGAATATTCTGAAAAACTTTTCCGGAGGAAATGTGATTTGTAACTATGCACAGTAAGTTGGGAAGTCTTACTGTCTTCAGAATTCACTTCGTTCTGCCTCATAAGTGTCATGATGAGAGTTAGGAAGATCAAGAATCAATATTTTGAGATAGGCCTCAGAAAAATTTTAAATCGATTTTGAAAATCTTGGACCTGGAAAAATCGTCAAAAAATGAGGTCCAAGATTTTCAAAATCGAATTAAAAATTTTCTGAGGCCTATCTCAAAATTCGGCTCGATACTTCTCTTCTAAATGATCCCTAGAACATATCCTGAAAGTTTCAGGGTGATTGCTCAAAAAATGTAGGAGAAGATAGATTTTTAGACTCGATTTTCAGGACGCGCGATTGAAAATCGCTCGCGCAATACAATTACACATGAGTGCTGACCTTTGACTAGCGATAATTTCGGCTAGGAACAATATTTTTCCATGGGACCAAAAGCAGCTGGTAGATATTACTCCCCTCTATCAGAAACAACTATAAAATCAATTTCGAGAGAATTTTGATGAAAACCCCCCCTCCGGCCCCCTCAATTAAAATTTAAGAGAATTGGTTATAAACACAGCTTCTTACTAATTTAATCTTGTAACTGACCAATTGTTTCGATCATCAGGGTTAGTGGAGAAACGCGGAAATGACGTCATAGAAAGTATATTGGACGAATTTGACGACCTGATTGAAGCTATTGACAAACAGAACAGCAACCTTGTGAAATCGTCAAAGTAGGACATGTGCCAAGTGCAATGAATATTTGTTAATGCAGTATGAATCTTTAAATGTAAACTAACTGTGGAACTAAATGTGGAACTTCACCTTATATTTCAGTTTTTGTTTTTACTATAATTAATGAAATTTGAATCATTTATAAAATTTTATCCTCGAGAGTCCGAGACTCCTGGACATTACAATGGTAATATTGTGAATTTGCTTGAATCAGAATTTTGTTCCAAATCAAATATTTATATGTAAATTTAAAAAATTGTTTGTTCGAAGATGATGATCGTTTAGCCCAAAATTTTCCCGATGTATCCCCTCGGTTTTAATACTCCAAGGACCAAGTATTTTGGAGATAAATTAAGAAATTGTGAGTAACAAAGTGTTCACAACTGTTTAATCAGATAACGAAATAACTGGATAGTGAATGAAATCGCAATATATTTGATAATCATTTTCGAACTCGGTAATACAAGTTAATTTAGATTCGACAGATACGTTAGAGTTTAGTGTCTTAGGATAGTATCGTTATTTTGCAAACAATTTCAGCATTTTTATGTTAATCTGACGATGTTTATGTCAATTTTAAATGATAAGAATTGGTATCTAATATATAGCAATTTATAATTTCAAACAACAATTTCATGTTTTTTTATTTTTTTGACAGCAACAATAACTCAAGAATAGTGATACAGTTGATTGACCTGATAGCTGTCTGCTGTTACAAGTGTTAAAATCAATGATAGTAATACAGTTGATTGACCTGATAGCTGTCTGCTGTTACAAGTGTTAAAATCAATAATAGTAATACAGTTGATTGACCTGATAGCTGTCTGCTGTTACAAGTGTTAAAATCAATGACATAGAAAATTCCTTCGCGTAGGCTATCCATTATCGGTATGAAATCTTTTATCTAGATAAGCAGATAACGATTTCTAGGCTTTATCTAGATTAAACCGATAAAACCGATAATTTTTCCAAGGATGTTAAATACTTAGCGTATCTTATAAACGTACGGCATACGAATACGTATTTCTCAAGAGTGTTATGCGTACTTCGTTCAAATCTGTCATTTCGACCATCGATTCATTAAATGAGCATTTAGCAGGAACGCGCTAAAAACGCGCTTTTAAAGATATAAATATTAAATTTCTTCACATGACCTCATGGCTTATATTAGTCGATTAGTGTGTCACTTTTAATCTGAAGCACCTGGGTTCGAACTTCGAATAACTAATAATACCTCAGTAATATAATCAGCAAAGCACGATACAGTATGGTATGGAATTGAACTTGAGGGTGAAACATAATGAAAAAATTTACAGCCACTTTTTCCGCCTTAATCAGATTCCTAGTCACTTTATAGTTTTATATTTTAGCCACCGGGTCATTTTGGTAGCAATTTGTATGTAAGCAGATTATGATGCCGATTACTGATTAGACAGATTATGATGTCAGATGTGCGGAGCATGGCAGCTGATCTTTTAAGTTCTTGCATACTTTGCGGAAACGTTTATCGTAAGAAATACTTGCATATTCGGACAAATTGAACATCAAACAATTTTTTTTTCTGAGACTGCTAATTGGACCGTATTTCACATATTTCTTAGAATTTTGACAAACGGCGTATTTTCGACCGGTTTTTCGGCGTATTTAACATCGATGAATTTTTCTGCTGAAGGTAATTTAAGCCAGAATGTTTTCCCAAATTTCACTAGAACTCATTGGCGAGTGTTATTACTGTTTACCAGTAAACTTGTAAACTTGGTACAGCAAAATTTCCGTTTATGGGATTACTTGGAAACAGGGGTCTGGGAGAAGCAAAACCACTCAAATTTCCTTGAAATTTCACTAAAATGTTTATAAATTTCAATGTATTGCGGCAGTATTTTCGGTAATTTCCAGTAAATGTTTATACCGATAAAAAAATATTTTATCTAGATAAACAGATAACTTTTATTAACGAATTCTTGGAGATAATTATCGGTTACGATTATCGGAGTGGATAGCCTAATGTTGCGAGATAGCGATTAGAATATGACGTTTTCTATGATAGAAAGTTGATCCAGTTTTATGGAGTTGAAACTTGACTTATCAATGATATGCTAATGCACAATTTTAAACCGCAGAAAAAAGTTGCTGTGTATATTCGAAAGTTTCTGATTACATATGCCGGTTTAACATATTCGTAATAACTTGCCCTTCCATTTGAGCCTAAATGCTTTTCGTTTCTACAGGGTGGGCCAAAAGTCAGTACCCATACGTTGGGTCTTATACCTCCGCCGTGTTTTATATTTGAGAGTTGTTGCTTTGCAGATGGCATACTGTACCTACTTGTTCGAGGATTCCGTCACCAAAATTTGAAAATTCGATTTTTGGGGGCCACACCCAATCAACATTGAATTGCTTATACTGGTGTTTGTGAACATGTTAGAGACTCCGTTGTAACATATTGCAATAGGTCATTTTATCCGGAATATGATCTGAAAAGATGGTGCGAATCGGATTTAAAATGACGAAGTTATCAAGCAATTTGTTTATCTCGTTAAGAAAATTGATTGGGTACTCAATGATTACCCAATTACGGCACCGTAATTGGGCTCTCTACACGATTCCCATAATGCTGATCTAGCCTCAACCCAATTACCTGATCACACGTAATGAACAAACTCGTTATGCTTCATATCTCGGTCATCTGAGAAGCTAGAACTCTCATTTTTTCAGGACAAACGTAATTTAAATGGCCAAACACTATTCAATAAAATTTGGCTTGATCCGACTATCCAAACTATCAAATAAGTGCAAAAATGAATAGAACCTTCATTTGAAATAAATAAACACGAATATTTTTCGATTTGACAAATTCCTCGAACAAGTGGTGGTAGTAAGTCATACCAGAAAGAATTATTTCAATTGGTCACTCAGTGATTGAGCTATTAAGGCCAACATATGTGATATGGGTACTGACTTTTGGCCCACCCTGTACAAAACATCAATCTAAGTGAGGCGATGTATTCTCAATATTTGTGGCACCAGGCACGCCCCTATTTCTTGCCCCCATTTGTGGCAAGTTTGCCCCCTCGTTTTAGAGTGGTTTAATCATAGTCAGAATAAGTCAGAATAAGGTAAAATAATACCGGTAGAAGCTTAATAATCGGTAAATTACAAGATGTGAGAGCACGTTTCCTTGATTTGTGTAGTGGATTTGTAGTGGATTTCACAGGTGTAGTTGATTTGTGTTCCCGGGTAGGTGGAACATGTTTTGGTGGTTAAATAGGTAGTGCGTGACCCAAACGAGCAGAAAACCCGAGTTTCGACCTCTTGACCCACTCAGGCCACTCCCAGGGGCCACGCCCATCCCAAAATTACTGAAATCCAGGTAAAATCAAGACTGAGAATCTTTACCCCCGTAGTGGATTTGTGTTCCCGGGTAGGTGGAACATGTTTTGGTGGGTGAATAGTTAGTACCTGTCCCAAACCATCAGAAAAGCCGAGTTTCGACTTCACGACCCACTCATTCCACTCCCAGGGACAATGCGCAACTATGTGTAGTGGATTTGTAGTGGATTTGATTTCTGTAGTGGATTTCACAGTTGTGGTGGATTTGTGTTCCCCGGTATCTGGAACATGTTTTGGTGGTTAAATAGGTAGTACGTAACCAAAACGATCAGAAAAACCGAGTTTCGACCTCTTGACCCACTCAAGCCACTCCCAGGGGCTACGCCCATCTCAAAATTACTGAAATCAAGGTAAAATCAAGACTGAGAATCGTTACCTCCGTAGTGGATTTGTGTTCCCGGGTAGGTGGCCCCTGGGAGTGGTCTGAGTGGATCAAGAGGTCGAAACTCGGTTTTTCTGATGGTTTGGGACAAATACTAACTATCTTACCACCAAAACATGTTCCAAATACTCGGCAACACAAATCCCCTACAGCGCCCAGGGGTAAAGATTCTCATTCTGGATTTTTAGGGGATTTGTCACCGATTTCAAGCTATTTGGGATGGGCGGCCTGAATGGGGTTGAATATGTTACTTAGTTTTTCATATCTTAGTGTCTATAAAAGTATAATTACGAGCAGTTTGGTGAGACTTCTGACTTCTACAGTCGTAGATTCTACAATGATAAATATTGTAACGTACGTTCGGCGCGCAAAATCCACTATACAAAATCCCCTACAAAATTCAGGGAAACGTCTTCTGCGTCTTCTGTACGGCACACGCTCTTTTAATTCTTTTAATATTGAAGGCGCAATGCCGCCCTTTTCGTCGCGCGCGCGTAGTACGAAATTCGGTAATTAATTTATTCGACCTTGGACCTGCACAGTGCATAGCTCCGAAATAATCTTTATGTAATCTCTAACCTCTCACGTTCACCATGAAAGGCTTATCGTGATGAAAAAGACGAATCTAGTATTTAAGGATTGACATCAGAGGGGGTTGACATATTTTAATGGCTAAGTTGTTCATGGTCGCAATCTTTCACGTGCTGCTACGTGTATCCATGACAACGACAACTTCACCCGAAGGACACGATATGGAATCAAAAGATTCGTTGCTTTGTGAGCCATGTCAAGAAGTAGTGTTGGTAAGAAACCTATCGGTCTACACTTACCTCGAATAACAGTACCGAGAGATAGTATACAAGTCCGGAGGGGTGAGAGTGGGCTCAGCAGCGATGCCACTAGCATGATCAGTAGCACAAGTGGACACGGAGATGGGATCACAACTTATAACATCCTTGCTACAGTCGCTGAAAGGTTACCGATGGTAGATTCTAGCGAGGATAACGAAAGCACGTCCAACTGCATGATACCGGGTCCTACGACGCTAAAAATGGTGGCACCAGCCTCTCAGATGCTGTCCTTAAATATGAAAAATGCTATAAACAGCCTCGACCCCAGTAATGATATCAATATTGCTCAAGTCATCTCTGAGATCAAAACAGAGAGAAGCTTCATAGCTGGCCCAAAGAATTCGCTCTTTCAACAAGTTCTGAAGGCGAAGACAGAAGAGAACAAGCGTATAACGAAGAGCATTAAGACATCTAGTGAACAAGCGAAAACAAGGTCAGTTTTTTATCATCTTGTTGATACACGTTGCATATCTCTTTCACAGCCTGCCGGCTTTGCGCGCGAAATTAAAAGAGATATGCGACGTGTATATCAATTATCTTGCTGTGATACAAAGTTTTATCTATCATATGTGTATCAGTAGTTAGCTGTTTGTGGAATCGCCGTAATTTCTGTAATTATGTGATTTTCTTCTACCCAGGTGGAAAATGACCAGAAATGCGGTTTCTCATCCTCCCAACAATGAGACTCTGTTTAAGCCCGGTAAAAAAGAATCTGGCGCCTCCCAGTCAAATTCAAACGAGCTGAGTGATCTAGCTATCGACGTCAGAAGTGATGTTGAAAAACTTCATCTTCATGATCAGAAAGAACGGACTCCAAACTCACGTGGCCTAAAAACGTTAGCAAAGATGTTTAATACGGATAGAGGCTCCGTTTCTGACACACCCACGATATTTGCTTTGCTTAGAGCATCGCACATTGTTAGTAAGTGTTTTTAGAACTAATAAATTTATTATTGATTTTGAATGAGAATACAAAATAATCGACATCATGAGGCATTAAAATGCTAAGTTCTTATGTACATGTTCATGAGTCGCTTTAGATGGCTTGAACTGAATCTTTGGATTTGAGTTCTTTTTGGCTATAAAGCGATGTACAAATTTCTAGTTATCATTATTATTATTACGTTGGGTGAAAGTTATACAGGGGTATACATTATAGACCATATTGTATAAATACTTAAAGCATGGGTAAGTGGTAGAAGTTCTGGGGTATTACAGGTAATAGTTCTACCCCCAGACTCACAAACACCACCTCCATCTAAAAAATTAGAATTTGGAAGATATTATAATTACATTTATTTCATGTTGAATTTCATATAAGATCGCCCTTCATATAAAGTCTTTCTAATAAAGCAATGATACTTTCGGATAATACATTCAGATAAAACTCTCTTAGGTGTTGCTGTTGTAACCCACCAACAGCGAGAGAGCCAAGAAGATGAATTAACAGCATATGAACATACTCTAAATAGTTACTTGTCTTTCATTCCTGACCTCAGTATCGTGAACACGATCAGGTGAATATTTAAAAAATTTGTGGTACCACATTCTGCATTAAACCTTTATCTTGCAGAGATAAGAGCCTGTTAAAAAGTTAAATTCAGTCCAGTAAACCCGTAGTTGTTATGTGTCATAATTACATGGAAATACCATGTTATCATAATACGATACAATACTTTTTTATAATACCTTTCAGAGCCCAGACTAAATCGCTGGAAGAATTTCAAGGCGTTGCAATGTTTGCTGATGTTTCAGGGTTCACAGTATTGTGTGCCACATACGGCGTGGTCAACATAAGCAAGCTCAAAGAAATCCTCAATTTAGTCATGGGAAATATCGTCGATGAAATTTTGATGAGTGGCGGTGATATCGTATCATTTGCTGGTGACGCTATCTTTGCCGTTTGGAGAACACATTCGCTCGAGGAGAGGTCCGCAATACTGCCCAAAGTCCTCAAGTGCTCGGTTCACATCCAGGACGCTGTCAATTTAGCAGTCGATAAGTCCATAACTCTGAGAGTGAAAGTTGGGCTAGCCGTTGGTAAAATGTTCTCATTTCATCTGCAATCCAGCAGCCGAGATCATTTAGCTGTAGTTGGTCCTGCGGTCAAGGACGTCAATAAGGCTGAGGGTTCTTGTGTCGCTGGAAACATTATTTGTTCTCAGCAGTTCTTTGACGAGTTCCCCCAGAAAGAAAGATACCCTTTTCAACTATCTAAACCCGGATTTGTTCAGCTTTGGCCCCCGAAAAATAACGCCAAAACACAGGTTATCACATTGCTTGAAAATCTTGGTAATGGTAATCATGTTACTCTAGACCGCGTTAAAGTGGTTAGGAAAATTGCAGATGACTTAGTCAAACAGGATATGTTGAAGCGTTACATTCCTGATTATCTTCGATTCCAGCTACAAGAAGGCCAGGGTACAAGTTGGGCCTCGCAAGTTCGAAATATTACAACACTTTTCATTTCCCTCGTCTTCGCTGACTCTGAAAAGGTGTCTAGTGATCATGAAAATGTTCAGGATGCACTGGTCTGTATCGACGAGATTGTCGATAAAATGAACGGCACAGTTAATAAAATATTCACATTTGATAAAGGCTGCACAATTCTTGTTGCTTTTGGAACCCAAGGTTACAAAATGAATGATGATCCTCGTCGAGCTCTTAAAACTGCACAGATGATCTTACCATCACTCCAGAATAAAGTGACAGACTTTCAAGGTGTTTCGATAGGTGTAACTACGGGACTTTGTTTTTGTGGCATGGTAGGGCATGAAGAGCGCCACGAATACACCATCATTGGTCACCAGGTAAATCTCGCATGTCGACTTATGAGCAACTACCCTTTCTGTGTGGCATGTGATGAAAGTACCAAGAAACTATCCACCCTTCCTGACTCTGCTTTCACTGCCCTCCCTCCGAAAGTCTTGAAGGGTGTGCCTCCTGGTGGTCTATATTTCAAATACAATGACCTTAATGTTTCAGAAGAAATCCTTTGCAAAGGTAGAAGAGCATTAGATATTGATAATAGGCAAGTAAGAATTGTTGGTCGGGCACGTGAATTGGACGCTTTGTACTCGTGCATTGTCGAAGCCGAGAATTGTGAAGCTGGGAAGGCTCAGAACACCATCATAATAGAGGCCCAAGCTGGATTTGGGAAATCCAGGCTTCTGGAGCAATATATGGTTGTTGGTCAGCGGAAAAACTTCAAAGTCATTATGGTACCATTAGTTATGGATGAAATGACAACCCCCTTTTTCGCGGTCAAGATGGTGATGTTTAAGCTATTGGAGTTGGGCAAGCCGAATAATTTCAGGAACAAAGAAGGCGTGATCGCTAGATATGTCCCAGAATATCTTCGTTGTGATATGTGCGTGTTGAATGAAATTCTTGGGACCAAATTCAAGAGAGATTCCGCTCGGGATTTCAGTTACAAAAACCTGCACAAACTCCTCAAAATTTTATTGAAAGAAATTATTGGAGATGAGTCCTATTTGTTCATCATAGATAACGCCATGTACATGGATGAGCAATCCTGGGAGTTCCTCTCTCATTTGATTACCTTAAGAAAAAAAATCATCCTAACATTGTCTATGAAACGGACCAGCCACAAGCGATCAAGAGCCGAATTTCAGCTCATTAATAATTCTCGAGCCAAGAAATTTGTTTTGGAAGCCTTTAGCCTAGATGAAGTGGAAGAATTCTGCAAAGCTCTTTTAAATGTAAGGGATATCCCAACACAACTTGTTCGCATGTTGAAAGAGAAAACCAGAGGGATCCCCCAGTATTGCGAGGGGTTGTTGAAGAAGATGCTTAAGGAGCAGGTTGTAAGGGTGGTGAATGATATGGAGGCTTATAAAGCTATTGGGAATGCCCCTAGGCATAGCAGATCACCTAGGGTATCTAAGACTAAACGATTCAGCATCTTCAGTAGTACTAATACTGGTAAGTAATTTCATGCTGATATATTTCCAGGTGGGCCTGGGGAGGGGGGGGGGGGGACAACCCCATTGCCCATTTATTCCTCAACTTTTGGTCGAATGGGCATCGATGGGTATCGCTGATTTCAAGCGCAAGCCTTAAAAACTGCTAAGAATTATGACTAAAATGAACATCGCCATCGTGTTCGCCGTCGTTTAATTCAAGCGAGTAAAGATACATTCTAGCTCAATAGAGTTTGCTATTAGAAATATTTATTTGTAGATTTTGACCAAAAATTATGAAAATTATGCTCATTTCGCCTATTTTCTCCTAAAATTTGGGTCAAATGTGCAACTATGGCCCCCCCATTCCCCCACCAAAAGGCATCGTACATTTATTACCACGGTATCGCTGCTGCATATTGTGTCGAATATCATCTTACCGTTGCCTATATTTTCAGTCAAACCAATCGCTGACACATCGCACATAAGGAAGAAGATTGTTGAGGATGAGTCAAATTCAAGTCTACATGAAGTGGCAGAGCCTAGTGCTTGTTGTGGAGGGTGTCTCCCTGGCGCTGGGCCGAAGGAGCAGGTTTACAATTTTATTTTTAAGAAGGAGGGTTCGGTTTTAAGACTTAAACAGCAAAAACTATGTACATATCTAGAAAATTTATAATTTACTCATACATGTCATACAGGTCAACAATTTGAATCCGACGGCCACGGAGTGGTTTGATGATCTGGTTCAAACAGTCGATTCTACGAAAATATGTATACTTAACGAATCTGTCAATTTAGCAACAGTGGCGTTACCGGAAAGCTTAAAGGAGTTGTTTTTAGCTCAATTTGACAGGTTTCTCTTACTCTTAGTTTCTTTTCTAGTTAAAATGTCCATGATTTGAGTTTGTTTGTTTACTTTATCAAACTTTGAATAGAATAGCTTGAGAAGAACTCCCTGACTCAAAATAATTTACATCCAGTATTTAATGAAATGAGTAATTGATTAATTAATTAAATCCGCAGGTTGGCAGTAACAGAGCAAGTAACGATGAAATGCTGCGCTGTTCTGGGAACCCGCTTCAGCCTCTCCCTCCTAAAGTCCGTCCTACCACACCGGACCTCCACACAGATTAACCACAGTGTCCGGAAAATGGTACGCGAACAGATGCTGGAGTGTGGTGGCGATTTTGGCATCGGTAACGAGTGTAATAATAAGTTCTGTCCTAAAGGGGGACGAGTCGTCTTGAGTGGCGACTTGGAAAATGTGGGTGACGCTAATGTTTTAAGAATTTTACTGCCACGATTTTGTAATTTTCATGACGTGGCATCATTAATATCCGACGAATATTATATTATTAATAAATATTATTAATAAATTGTTGATTATAAGTGTTGTTTCTTGGTCGATGGAAGGTTTGTGGCTTTCCTATGGATATAATCTTTTTACTGACAGAACTCAATTCCAGGTCCCAATATGTGAGATGATACGTTTTAGTACCCAGTTTTCTGCGGAGATCCTCAGAGATCTTCTCCTTCCCGAACAAAGGATCAGGATCCACGAGACCGCTGCTCGAGTTCTTGAGAAGAAGATCATGCGTTATGATTTCTGTTGTAAAAAGGAGTTCTTTGGGAACGTTTTCAAGATAACCGCTATGGGTGATACCAGGGGTAAGAACTCCTCGATCCTGCTATTTATGTTTTCATTTTCCACTTCCTTTCAATTTCTTCTTTACATAATGTTGTTCGTAATTCATATTTATTGTTTATTCATCCTTCTTTCCGTTTTGTCCATCGATTCTAATAATATCAATATAGGTTTCAAAACAAATTATCTTTTTTGCTTTATCTAACTGGAACATCTATCAACTGATATCGATTTCAGTACCGGACTGGGCATTGAGAGCGCGTGAGCGACGTGTTTCCAACACCGGAACAGATATAGTAGAACTTGAGCAGCGCTTCAACGAGAGCATGCACAGCAGTCAAGATAGTTTCCAACTTCCAGTGGCAATGCCACGTGAGCGGCGCTTTTCTGGGGACAGCACAAAATCAAATACGAAAGTGTGTCAGTGCCATACCATGTTCACAACCATCTACCCTCAGATTATCAGGCATTTTAAAGCCGCCGGGACTAATCATAGGTACGTTGACACCTTTCAGTTTCAATATACTATTAATATAATGACATCTTATTGATTTAATACTATTGATATAATATTTATTATTTATATACTGTTACAATTTTTTGTCTCTGAATAAACCTACTAAATACCTTAAGAACGACAAATTTAGTCTACCATAAATTCAGTTAAAATTTTGAATAAAATTGTTGTAAATCAAATTTATTGATACTACATTTTTCGGCGACTAATTTAAAAGTAGACCAAAATTTCAGTAGAGCATATATGACATGAATATTATTGAGCTTACATTGTTTATAATAATATAATGACATCACCGTTCCTACTGCTGAACTACTTTGACTATTACACGTGTAATCCACAGCTTTTATGCTTTCACAATTCACATGCTCTTCCTTCCTTTTCCCATCAGGTAGTATCTGCATCTAGTTTAACTCATTAAGTAATCATGTGAAACGACCCCTTCTAGAATTTAGCCTTTAAAACCACTGCTCTATGTAAATGTAATGGAAAAATCAAATAAATGGAATGGAAAATGGTCTCGAAAAGTCAATAAATAAGACTAAAATTGTTGTAGACTAAAAATTTGCGGAATTCGTGACTAAAATTATGGTTACCAAAATTTGTATAACCAAATTTATTAGCCTTAAGGTATCAATCATGATTTGTTTCTATGACTATAGCTCAAACTTTGGAAATTTGAGAATTACTGCTATATTCCTATTCGAAGCTTATTTAGTCAAAATTCAGTTTATTTGAAGCGCTCTGCTCGGCGGGAGCTCTAGGAATGGCGCTGAGTTTTACATTTGAAGCTGTCACCTACCTTGAAGAAGCATTACTCCTCTTCAAGACCAGAACCAAGCTAAATGATATGCACAGGTAAAGAGAAGGTCGATCTCCGGCTCGACAGGGAGGGGCTTGCCCCTAACCAGAACCTGGGCTGTATACTTTGTGTTAGAACTTTTTATAAACTCTTTTGTCCGATACTCGAAACTTGTGAATAATTCGTTCATGGTCAGATTTCTTTTTTATTGCAAAACTGTAAGAATAACGCACTCACCGATATTTCAGGGCGTGTTTGTCGAGTTTATTGTGTCTGGCAATGTACTTGTGTCCCAATCCTACCACACAAAGACTGTACAAAGAGGCATTACATCTGGGAGGACATGCTCAGGTATTTGCCTTTGTTTTGCTTTAATTTTAGTGTTTGTCTCTTGAGTTGTGATGTTTAAATCCTCATGATATGGTTTGTGCACTGTACCTAGATGCTCAAATAAAAAGTTTACAACACTTTTCTGGAATGTGGCCGCATAGCTTCTGACCACGAGACAGAGATGTACGTTTCAAAACTGATGATTTTTATACTCGGTTAATAGTTTTGCTCGTTTATATTGCGCCGAGCAATCGAGAAATGATCTATAATTCCTTACATTGTGAACATTCCGCAGGTGATTTACAAGTACAACGTGTCCTGTCTCTCCTACATGTGCGGAAGAGGACAGAATGATGAGTCCACTGTAGACTTTTAATGCGACTTAGTTAATGTTTTCTTTGACGATTCAACTTATATCGGATGTTTAACTTGTTAATGAAGTAAAAAGACAAACTGGCAAATGAGAAATACAATCAAATGATACAGCACCAATTAAATTCAATCTTAAATAATAACTCAAAATCAAACAAAGATAAAAACACAATAAATATAATATCCTTAAAAGAAAGATAGCAATTTTTCAAAGATTTTCAGTATCGCTGCTAGGTAGTCTATCAAAATAAATGTTTGTAAAATCACATTCAGCATCTTTGTACATTTGTATATTTGTGGGGGGGGGTTAAAACTTGATAAACTTGGTTTTTAAGTGAGATGGAGTTTGTGGAGAATATTTATTTTGGCTCTACCCAATTCTATTAGTCATTGGTTCACAGTTCCTGAGTTGGCTAAGAGCCAGGAAGCAGGAAGTAGTCCACTCTCAACAGACAAAATAGAAGAGAATAGTGGAGAGGAGAAGAGAAGTTGTCACTGACACTCCAATTCCAGCGTTGAAGTCTCTACCGGGGATATGTTCAAAACACAGATCTTCTGTACATGTCACACACTCCCCCTGAAATAGAAAATTAACTGTATTGAAATAAGTAATATTTGTCAAATAACTCTTTATTGTGGCTTAATACGCATAATTAAAAACGTATAGAATGCTGTCTGAAAATAGATAAGATTTAAGCGGGTAAAAGTCCATCCAAAGTCCAAACCCTGGCTCCATTATAACGCGAAGACTTAATGTTTTAACTTTTATGAAAATCAAGGATAAGGTTTTCAATGGTCACCTCTTCTACTTTTATCTTAGGATCTGGTTTCGTGACGTTGAGTGAGGTAAGAGATTTAGAGATAGCGTAGGGACCGAACTCCATCTGACCTTCACCGTTACCACTCCCGTCACAGTGACCGCAGGCGTAGTACACCTTGGAGTAGTTCACTACTCGATACTTGAACCTGGAGGATAATATCGATAAATGTACTGATACATGGCACTTAGTAGTTCAATTAATGAATTTTACAAGACCATTCTACTGGTGAACAGCAAGTGTATTACTTTTTACACGCGGCATTGTTGGCAGTGGGCCAAAACACGGCACAGTCGCTCATCACCGTTCTTCCTTCGTCCCTGTCTAGAACTGTATTTCTCACAATCTCGCCCACTCTACAGTGGAGACTGTACAGACACGCTGGTAACCATAGCAACAACACCACTCGTTCCAACCTCATTCTGGGATCACATTATTGAGAAATTGGAGCAGGATTGTCACGGGACCTGCTCACTGCAGGAATTCTAGTTGACCCGAAAACAGAAAGTACAGGCTGAAGCGAGTAAGTTCTTAAAAGCTTTAATCATAAAAGTTTTATCATATCCACTAATCCACAATTAACTATCCATGGAAACGATCTAGATATGGGCCACCCCTGTAACCTTAATACCTCAAATTAACTCATCAAGCAACTTTAAGAGGTTTAAGTACTTTTACGTAGCGGTAGTATACCCACTACTTCTAGCTAGTAACAAAGCAAAAATTATAATCTTATAACCTCTCAAACCCACGCGACACAAATCTAATCCAACTCAGCCGAAAGAGAGACACACTGAAAACACGGCGAATACAATAGAGCAGCACACAACCACCTGGTGTACCAGTACGCTCTCTTATTATACTCCAGGTGGTCCGTGGTATACAAGGGCTATTATCCCATTATCTTGTAAATATACAGCCAGTGTAGCTGTGAGTGTACACTACAGGCAGTGAAAAGATGTTGGGTAGACTAGAGAATAGTTGAATAGCTTGTGGTAGAGCATACTGTTTTATCACTGCAGTGATAATGACAGTGTGCTCTACCACAAGCTCATAAAGTCACGAGATATAATTAACATGTAACCGTTTAAAAGCACGGTATTATATGTTAATTCAACTATTGTCTAGTCTACCCAACATCTTTTCATCTTTTGACTTTTGTGTTGAGCGCATAATAGGCACGTTTTCTATCTGATTTATAATAATGATCTCTGAAGGATATATAAGGTACAAGCTAACTGAACCTCAAGACAAAGACTTTGGGTATACGTTTTGTTACTACTACTAGCTGACTTGATATTTTATTTTAAAAAACTCATAAGTAGAAGAATGGATACTCAGCCTTGTCTCAATTAGGAATTTAGGAAAATTTCATATGAAAAAAAAAAATACACACAGGATTCATTAGTATATAAATACCTTGGTACACTTTGCTATTAGTTGGGAAATAAACATAATATCTTCTTAAACAATAAAACTCCTAAATCAGTGAAATCACTGTTTCACGCAAAAAACATGCTCCACCTCCCAGAATGAAAATAAATCATTGTAACAATTTAACAAGTAAGCTGTTTAGTGTTTAGAGGTTCACTGTCACATCGTCAGCAGTTACCAGAATGTAATCTTCTCTGTAAGTAACCTTCGCATTGTTAATAACTAAGGTATCCGGAATGTTCAGGGGCAAACCCCCTTTCAGCTCCTCCCTGATTAAAGAGGGAAGCATTTCTCCAAGCATTCCATTTAGCTGTCTCTCCACCTCTTGAACTTGTGACTCGTAAAGATCCACTGCACTGCCCCCCGCTATAGTGAACTTAGCGTTAGTTATATTAGAACTCCCAGAGAGAGTTGGCACCAAGTTGTATAGACCATCTGAGAAGACCAAATCAAGGGTCCCAGTTAATTTCAATGTAGCGTGTATCTCCACTCTGATCTCTTGTGGGATGACAGTGCTAACAAGAGTGACTCTCGCTCTGAGGTTGGAGTTAACAGCGATCCCCTCAGAGTTAATAACCACTCTTGGAGCTGTAGTGCTCGTCACCCTAAACTTCTCCTGGAAGTTCCTCAACAGCCCCGCGTGATCACTAGTCGGTATGCTCACAGTCCCCACACTCTTTCCACTCCACTCAACCTCATACTCCTCAGAAGTTCCCGAAGCTTGAGTTGCTGTGAAGTCGATCATCCTTAGATGGTGAAAGTCCTCAACAAGACGCGATACCACCTCCTCTGTTACGATCACTGACATGCCCCTCTCTCCTCCTGGCACTAAACTACACCAATCAACTGCTGTATCTCTCCTCCTCCTCTTCTCCATTTTATCTAAGCTACTACTAGAAGATGATGTCCACTGAGATGTGGAGACTTCAGTCGTACGTTCCCGCTCATTATAAGGTATAGTAGGAGGGAAGAAAGGTTCTGTCTCCCTCTCCTCCCTGCCCTCAATCTCTAGATCTGTCTCCCCCAGAACAGTAACTACAGCACACCTGTCTCCTCCAGTCACCATCTCAGGCCTGTTGTTTATCCCTATCCGGTGCCCCAGAATGTTTAGAGCGTCATGTCGTTCAAAGACGGCTGTCTCCAGTTTCCTTGCTCCTTTCATTATCTTTCCGTTAATCTTATCGCAGATTTGGTCCCCCACCTTTTCTCTTATTTCTGACTCGAAGAATCCTACAAAAAGGTTGATGAGCCAGCTAGCGGAGCTCTCTGAGAAGTAAATGTCCAGTCCCCCAAGATGTGCTGTACAGGCGGTCGGATCAGGCGTGAACCCGACTACTCCTTCCTCATTCTCTCCTAGAATTACTCGAACATCTATGTTGAAACCTTTTGCTCTAACGGTCACACTACCGTCAAAGTATAAGTTGTAAAACCAGGTCTTCTTAGTGGCCCTCCAACGGGAGGACACTCTCATGTCTCCACTGACTGTCCCGTCCACTACTAATTTGTCCCCACTTGGATCTTTGTTCAGATCAACCGCAGGTGTCATGGACAGCTCAGTGAAGTGGAGGTCCCAATAATTAAACTTCACTCCGCTTTTTGTTTTTGAACCAGATATCTTCAGTTCCATAATCTCCTCCGTTGCTTGGTCAGAGATAATGCGAGCTATATCCCCGATGAGTTCCTCGGAGACCTTCATCACAACCCCCCTGTCTAGAGGTGGTGTCAAAGTGCTGTGAGAGAGGGCCAGGACGACTGTTAGGAGGAGGACTAGTCTCATTGTTCTAGGAATTGTTATCAGCTGAGTTAGAATAGAACAAGATAATACAAGTCCAAAAAACTACTAAACTACTAAGCTTCCATTCACGGGATAGCCAGTTACTTAGCAACGCATGAGACTCAATCAAAGTACTGGAAGTCAAATTCTCGGAGAGGGCTTCGCAAAATATAAATTCATTAACAAAGAATTTTAGCGTGAACGATATAATACGAAGAATTATACTTATACGATTTAAAGGGTTGTGCCTATAATTGTAGTTATACAACAAAGTTATCGTCGACCACTCGACCAGTACACAGTGGAAAATGTGTGATTTATAAATTGATGAGAGTTGACTTCTGATAGGTACAGTTCCGGTACAGAGAATACGTATTACATTTACGTTAACACGATTAAATTCAAACACCTGTTTGGATTTGTTGAGCATTAGTCGATAAGGCTAAGCTACGTTTCCGCAAAATTGAATCCATATTTGCAGATTTTTGTAAATGAGATTTGAAATTATAATTAGAGTATGCTTTGGTTCAAGATACGAGTCGTTTACTGAGGTAACCTTGGCTTAATCTAATCTAGAACATCCTGAACAGCCGACTTTTAAGATAACATTTATATTTCCTTTTCCAAGAAGTAGAACACACATTTGTAGTTTGTTTGCAAATTTGGATTTTTGAAAATAAGAGATTAAGTATGATCAATGACTTTACTTCAACATGAATATTTCTGGATACCAAGGATTTTATTTACGCTCCCATTTCCCAAGTCAAAATGTCATGTATAATTATATTTATAAGTACGAGGTCTGTTTAAAATTGTAAATTAAATTATCTTATCAAACTGCACATAATTGTCAGGGTTTGGAAAAGCTTGGAAAGTCGGAATGCGTTTAAATATGCGAATGATCCCTTATCATGCAGTGAATCACTATGGCATCATGTTTGATACGCGTACGCAATATTTGAACCATGACAAGAAGCGGAGTAGAAATTTTCAAGTACAAATGAAATTGAAATCATCATGTTTTTAATTTTCAATACAGCAATAAATGTTAAGTATTATAACAATGCAAAATAAAACTGTTCTCGGTTCAGCTATACTGAAACTATTCTATTCAATTAGTTCTGTGAACATGGTGGTATAAAGTATAAACACGTGTATTTCTATATAGGAATCATATATTGGAATCTTCCTGCATTCCACTAACTAACAAAACAAAAAATAATCACATTTGTTACAAATAAGCTTGAAAAAAGCTTGCCATGAGGTTTGGGATGTTTTAAAAAGCTTCAGTCGCAGCATTAACAATTAAACAATTTAACAGTTACATACACTTTTTGTCATATAAATGAACGAATTTGTCATTTCTATGATGAAAACATTAATCCTTGGCTCAAGAAAGTTTAGTTATGAAATACGCTCCCACTAATTCGCTCGCCCCAATTAAAAAAAGTCTTGTGAAAAGGCCCTGCAGGGTATAAAAGTATTTTTGGACGCTGATTCCGAATCACCCCCCATGGGCTATGACATAGGATACAAATGCTTCCCTGGAGAGTTATGGTCAAAAAACTGTTTTAAAACCGATTAAATAACCAAAAAATTTAGCAGATACGATAATCTATCAGAAACTGGAAGTGGAGAGATAAAGTGCGAGGATAAAGAAAAGAAGTGTTGAGGTCTTTAGTGGGACTCCAGCGTTGTATTCGTACGAGAAACAAAAGTCTGAGTTACAATTTTCGCACTCTGACTGAAAGGTTTTTGTCTATATATATATATTAGGGGTATATACTGTATACTATACATTACTACTATACTATATACATTACTACTATACTAATAAAGATTACATCTCACTTTGACAGATTCATCAGATTCTCTAAGTTCAAAGGCTCGACTTTAAAAATATGATCACGTTGGAAAGTTGGTCACGTTGGTTAGTATGATTAGATTATATTTGTTTTGAGTGTATCAATTAATGATAAATAACCTTCTTGAGATCAGCTGAGGCGATGTAAGGACCGAGTTCACCTTCTGCGTCACAGTGTCCACACGTAAAGTACTCTTTTTCATAGTTAGCAACTTTGTATTTGAATCTAGCGGTATAAAATTAAATCACAAATTCATTTATTGGCTGTAGGTACATCATATTGATATAGACTTGATAAGAGTAACGACTAAGTAAGGGCACTAAATTGAAAGGGGAGGGTTAAATGTTTGATAAAATTTTACTTACAGGATTCCGTTGAAATTTGTCAATGAGTATTAAACTTAAAATCACAAGCTATAAATGATCAAATGAAAGCAGCCATACTTCTTGCAGAATCTTTGATTAGCAGTAGGCCACATTATTCCACAGTCCATTGTTATGGTCTTTCCTTCCATACGTTCCATCGCTTCATTCCACACAATCTCACCCACATTACAATGGTTACCATAGAAACAAGCTGGTAACCATAACAACAGCACAACTATCTCTAAATCGTACCTCATTCCTAACAGTATCAGAAACATCAATTTGTTTTGTTGTTCGATATTTTTATATTATTCGGGTGGTAATTCATGCTGCCCCTGCAGACAATCGACTTGGGCTTTTCCGGGCTGACTATGCCCTGCCCATGACCGTGTGCCTTCACAGACAAAACAAAAGTCCACATCAGAGTTTTGGATAGAATAAGTATAGAGCTGCGTTTACTCAATTTATTGATTAAAAAAGATAACAGAAACAAAAAGCAATGCGTTTCTGTTGGGAGATTTATTATAGTGATTGAATTTTCTATAATTGATTTCACCATTAAGTGAAACGATGACTTGCTTCAAGTACCAGGGGAGCTATGAATGTTGAAACCAACAAAAAAAAAAGGGACATATGACATTAAAAAGAACCAAGCGTAGAAATATCTTAAAGCACCGTTTGGTGGTGCGATGGGGCTCAGTCCTAAAAGTAATTATACTATATTTGCAGTCTGATCTATGGTGTTTCGTACTTCTCCCTGGTCAATTATACCATATTGTTGTGCGCCAGATTTTATAGAAGTCATTATTTTGCTACAAAAGTCAAGCAGTCAGCACCAACGGACAATACTTCTCACACCTAGGGATCGTTCACATATTACCTAATCATTTTTTGGAAAATTTGATCCCCCCCCCCCTTCCGTAATCAGTTTTACACATGGTTATTGTGTCAAAATTACACTAGCGTAATCATAAATCATTCGGAACCCCCCCTCAGCTGATTACGTAATATGTGAACGACAGCTCCTAGTGAACTGTGCGATTTTGGTATGTAATTAATTATTGATACTTTTCGAATTTTTCATTTAAAGAATCTCTATAGATTTATGTTTTATTAGGAAAGAAGGAATGAATAGAAAAAGAAAACAAGAATTAACATTTTGTAAAAAATCGGGATTATAAAAACATGTCGTTTCAATACAATTCTTACTTTTTACATAAGCATAATGACAATGTAAATAATAAAATTCTGTATAGAAAGTGTTTCAATTGTTTCAATTTTTCTGATATATGCTGGAATGTGAATCAAGTTATCATTAAATAGTCTATTGTAGACTAAACAGATGTTAAAATAATCAATCACACGTGTGTTTCAGTTTCACATTCCAGCCCACTGCAGTTAACATAATTAGGGCACGGTATTAAAACAAAGAAACTAAATGTCATAATAAAAGTAAAGAATGCTTAAGTTATTAGAATAACGCTGAGAATAAATTACTAAATTAAAACTGATCTGTATAATGATAATAAACTGTGAGTATATTAAAAAACGTAAAAACTAATTAAATCTAAAATAATGACTCTGACATCTCAATATAACTGACAGGACTCATATTATGATGATTGTTCTCGTAAACAATGACGATTGTTCTCGGACGGTAAAAGAAATTATCTCTATAAAATATCAAGTTCCAGTTCAAATTGATAATCCATGCTAAAAATTCAAATAATTAACTGATTACTACTAATTAGATTAAGAAGACCCTTGGTCTGCTCCGTGAACGAGGCTGTAGAACAAGGAGGAAGTGTCACTGAGTAAAGTGTCGGGAGTGTCGAACTCAACCAGATTTCCACCATCCATCACCATAATCCGGTCACTGAGAATATTGAGGGTCAGTATTCAGTAATCGGGATGGGTTCGTGATAGTGACAAATTTCAATTAACAGTTGATATGTTGACATTACTGAAAATCTAAAATCTAAATGATTCATATCATAACGATTAACAAGATGTTATCAATGTAACCAACCTATCAATGATGGTGTTAAGTCGATGAGCGATGGTTAGAACTGTCCTATCACTAAAGAAGGTTCTGATAGTTTGTTGAATCGCTGCGTCTGTTTCCTGAAAGTATAGGAAATATTTTAAATCTAGAAAATGCTTAATTAGTATAATGAGTATGGAGTCCCAACTCCCAAGTTGGTTAACTGGTTCAAATATTTGCTGCATTACAAAAACTTAAAAACACCAGACACCAGACATGATGGGGCGATAAACGTACACGTGATTAATATAAGTGATCATTAATAACAAACCTGGTCAACATTAGCAGTTGCCTCGTCTATAACCAACAATGAGGAATCTTTGAGGAGAGCTCGAGCTAAACAAAGAAGCTGTCTCTGACCTACTGACATGTTACCTCCCATCTCGTCAATAGGAGTCGTCAATCCTCCCTTACCTGAGGGAGTAAACCAATTAACTGTAATTATTTGTAATTAGTAATTAGTGGTGTGATTTATACTGATACACACACAAAACCAGTATTACACTAATTGCATACGTTGTCTCAGTATTACACTAATTGCATACGTTTCTCAGTATTACACTAATTGCATACGTTTCTCAGTATTACACTAATTGCATACGTTGCTCTTTTCTTACTCTCTTATCTTAGTGCTTATCTCTGTTGATTGTAACGTGCAGCTACAGTGGTTTGTGTATCACCGTGTTACACGACCATGACCATCCCGCCCAGCGAGTATGGTGAAAAGGAGATCAACATGTTAAGGGGTGACTCAGTTGAACTTCTCAGCAAGGCTATGTACGAGATGGAGATCACAGCAATGAAGCAACTATCCCCTTCGTGCGTGAAGAAGATGAACAAGAACACTGCGTGTGACTTGTTGCACGATGCATTAAGATATTTGGAGGAGTTCACTGGTGTCGTATCCACGGACTACAAGATGGCCTCAAACTCAGTTAAACATCTTATGTTCGAGACACAGGAGACCATCATTAAGCTGCAGTCAGAACTACTAGCCTGCAAAAATGAACAGTTGGAATCGTTGCAGACGTCAGTTAAATCGTCAGTCGGAGAGTCTGTCAAGGCTGAATTCCAATCCTTCAGCTCGGTATTACAGGCGAATTGTCCAGAATCTCAGAAGCCTGTCAGTTCTGAAATGATCAAGAAAGCTGTGAAAACTGTGGTACAGGAGGAAGACCGAAACAAAAATCTGATGATTTTTGGTTTATCGGAGCAGGACAATGAGGAGCTCAGCACCGTGGTCAGTGAAGTGTTCTCAGCAATCGGAGAGAAACCCAGAATCGAAGCTAGTAGAGTCGGAAAGCTCAAACCTGGCAAGGCTGTGAGACCAGTTAAAGTGACTGCGGCAAGTGCAACAATTGTTAATCAGATTCTCGCTAAATCGAGAAACCTGCGAGCAACGGAAAAGTTTAAAACTGTTTTTATCAGCCCAGATCGATCTCCAGAACAGAGAGCCAAGCAAAGAGAACTCGTCAGGGACATAAAAAAACTGGTAACTGAGCAGCCTGATAAGCTACACTTTATCAGAAACGGTACTATAAAGAGTACTGATAAGACTAATAAGACTGCAGAATGAGCTTGTGTGTTTTTAATAATTGATTATTATTAGTGTATTCAAGTTTTTGTTGTGTGGAGGATGTTTTTAACTCACTCTTGTGTGCCCAGTCTTGCACTGTCAGTATTTCTCGACACTTTGAGCACACAAAACTGTCAGTTTTCGCGACAATTGTCAGATTTCGTTTTCAGTTCTGTCAATTTCAAGCGCTACTAGCTCTACTACTAGTAGTCTACTTCAGCTCACATTAAAGGGAGTTTTCCAAGTTTAACTTGGACGGATAGGATTTATAAAACTTCTGATTATAATATTTATACTATATTGTATTTTGTATCTATGTATTTTAGTAAATGGTCATTAGAACCACCGGCACCGTCCGGGCCCAAACAAACACCACATCTTGTTTGAGGGAATATTGTGAGCCAGTAAATAGATGGATGGTTAATAGAGATTTGACGGTTGTTGTAATGTCTTACCAGAAACGTAGGATTTCAATTGAACTTGTTCTAGAGTATTCCACAAGATCTCGTCTGAAAATTTCTGATACGGATCCAGGTTGTCTCTGAGCGTGCCCGAAAACAATAAACTTTCCTGAGGAGAAGTTATATATTACGTAGGATAACATTGAGATCATTATATATATATTTCTATGACCACGACAGTAAAAGATAAATTATAACCAGCTTAACCAGCATACACAACAAATATTTAAATAGTCTTGGAGACTATTCTAGATAACCATGGGCCGTGGCCCCACAAGTAGTCGCACTTACCTGAGGTATGACGCTGATAGAGCCCCTTAGTTCACTGAGGGACTGGGTAGAGGTATCCGTGCCGTTTATAACTATTTTACCCTGTACTTCACACATCCGGTATAGAGCCTGGCGGAGAAGAGTTTTATAACAGAACGGTCAAAAGGCAACATTACAACTTATCGTTCACGGCTTGGGCAATATTTTCATCAACAACAACTAAAACAGCATGAGGATGAAATTAATTAATTAATTAATAAAGTGGAGTGCAATTAGTTAATTAACTAAATAATCAATTAATATTAAAATGGAGTGTAATTAATTAATGAACTAATTAATAAATTTATTACCAATTACAATATCAGCTTGTTACCTGAATGATAGAAGATTTGCCAGCCCCCGTTCTTCCCACAATACCAATCTTCTCACATGACTTGGTCTTAAAGTTAATACTGTGTAATACAAAGGGGAGTGACTGGTCGTAACGGAGTGACACGTCTTTAAACTCAACAACACCTGGGAGCAAGGAAACGTTGACTAACAAGCAAATTTTATTTAATATGTAAAGAAGATTAACAAGAAAATATAGGTAATTTCATTAACTATTTTCATTTTTCATTCCAATTCATAATGGTTTGAGTTGAGAAAATAACGAGCGTTCAGACAAATAAATGTGAAATGAAGTTCCCAATCCTACTCAATATATAGTTACCTTTCAAACTGAGGGATGTGTTCTCAATTACTTTGTCATGCTCAACGTCTGGGTCTTCCTCTGGTGGTAAATCTGCTAAACTAAATATCCTCTCCACTGCAGTCATCTGCAGAACATTACTGTATAGTATATAGGAAAATAGTGGGCCTGCTGTCTACAAGTTATTATTACAACAATGAGATATGATTATAAAGTTACAGAATTTGTCAAAGTCGATTAATTTCGTTATATCATTATTATCTAGATATCATTCACTGTCGATGTCAGGCTACAAGTAATTAGATCGAATAACCACGTGACATTATTTACTCAGATGAAGTCTATAAAGGTACAAAGAAAACTCACCAAATTCTCGCACTCAGCCATTAGTCTGATACAGTACTGGAATTCACCCATTCTGTTCTGAACGTAAACTATTCCCAGTCCTGCTAATTTCGCTCCAACCACTAGCGTTTTAGAGTTTGTTAGTATAGGTGGATTTCTTTAATTGCCAAATATCAAGCTATAGTGATTCAAAAAATATAAAAGGCCGGAAAAAACTATAATGAAGTGATAGTAGTAGCGCAAGTAATATATCTAATGCTAAGAACCTACCATCACGGAGGTAGATACAAGCGAGGGTAGCAAAGAAACCGATGAAAGTTACGATGGTATCCAACCTCACCGACAGCCACCTCTCTGTAGCTTTGAAGATCAGATCTGCACTGGTGTGACGGTCTCTCAGCTTGTAGTGCTGTTCTCTATACACGTCTATCTGGTAATTAATTAGGTTAATTAGCTGAATAAATAAGTTGATTCATTAGTTGTGGACCTTGGCACTTGCAAGGTCCCGAATAGAAATTAAATTTTTGCCGACTGCCAAGTCTGGCATAATAGTTTCACGTTACATGATTCACATGCCATCATCTTATTATTGGAAGATTGATTTTATTACAGTAGTATTATAGCAGTGTACAAACTAAAACATATTACTGCTTCAGTCCTCAGGTTTCAGCAGTAAAGTTTCGTTCGTTCAGCGCGTGATAATTTGTGCTAGGGATATTTTGATATTCTGATCACGCTATTATGAAAGGACTGATTGTATTAAACTATTATATTACCAACACGGTACACGCTATAAAACACTCCTTTAGCGGAGTGAAGCTACAGTGTAGAACTTTGTTCCGTTCAGTGTGTTAGAATATTTCATAGCTCTTTACTTCTCGATCTGGTGAATATTGTACACATCACATCCTCGCATCCTGTGCTGTTATACTAACCCCTTAAAGTAACCGCCAGATGTTCACGGAGAATAAAACACTGATCCTCTTCAGCGCAGTCATCGCCCTCCTTGCCACTTCTCTCTACACATGGTACCCAACAACAACCACTATTCGGCTCCCTAATCCAGCTAATATTTCTGACATTCCAAACGTCGTTTACTTGACAGAGGACATGGTAGATCATATTCCAGGGGTCATGGGAGGAGAATCTCTAGTGAAATATAAGGGAGATATCGTTACAGGGACCTTAGACGGATATCTAGTTGGAATAGACCCTGATAACCTGGATATAAAGTGGAGGATAAAATGTCCGCTATCGGAGTCTGGTGGTAAATGTAGGATTCTAGGGTTGAGAGTAGTGGGGGATGATTTGTTTGGACTGGATCTTTACGGGCGTCTGTTTAAGTTTAAATCAGAGGAATTTAAGTGGTTGCTCGACTCCAACTCCCCAGAGATATCAAGCCTTAGTCCTGGTTTTTTCAATGACTTGGTACTTGTCAGAGATATGATCTATATAACAGACTCGTTCACTTTCCGAGAAGACAGAAAACATCTAAATATGTTCCAAAGGTTTGCAAAATGCAGCTGTTTTTGATAACGAATGATTCAATATATGAAATATTCTACAGGCTGAATTTCTCCTATCGTACAATCATGTATTATCTTCTCCACCTTGATACATACATTTATCAGGTTCTACAGTTTTGAGCCTGATGGTAAGATTATAGCCTACAACATGAAGTCGGGAGAAGCTTCGGTATTCGCTGATAATCTTATAACTCCTAACGGGATTGAACTGCATCGTAATGGCAGGTAGGTTAATTATAACCCAGTATATAACTAACAGAGCATGCAGTTGTATTCTCTAGGGCTAAACAGAGAATAGCTGCCATTTTCAGCTTAGTCTTGACTAATACGCTCTGATGACACTGTCAATTATCCTCAGTAAACCCAAGTTTACTTACTTGCTATAAACTACAAACTCCCTTCAGGTCCCTCTTAGTAGCAGAAGGGAGCATGTTCCGGATTAGGGCAGTAGACCTGGAAGGGTGTTCAAATGTTGGGGTGTTCAGTGAAGGAGGCACTCTCGGAGCTGTGGATAATATCCGGAGAGGTTCTAAAGGTGACCTTGTATTTTTATGATGGCTAACAATTTCTTTTTTATCAGCCCTTTTATGGACGGCACTTATTTTCCTTTATCTGTTGATATTATTGAGATCTTATCTCAACCACTTACTCTCCAGGGTTCTGGGTAGGAGTATCCACAGGCCGGACAACAGACAGTCATATCTCCGACCTCCTCACTTCATACCCTCTTCTCCGGCATCTAGTGACCCAGTACCGTGTCTTCTCCCCACTTCTCTCATACTATTCTAGAACCTTCACGGAGGAACCAAGGTTTTATAAAGTTGACGAGGGTGGTGTTGTGGAGAAGGTCGTGTTTGGGGACAAGAGGTTTACGGAGACTAATGCTTTTAGTGAAGTTTTGGAGGTTGGGAAGTACCTATTTGTTGGGTCTCCTTTCTCTAGGAGTATTTTTAGAGTTACTTTGTGACGACTGACGGTCTTCATTCCTTAGAAAATGATTAGCAAATGGTACTATACCAGAAAGCCAAGGGTCGATTGAGTCCTCGGCCTCGGCCTCGGTTTTACCAGGGAATAGCGATTTTTCCTCGGCCTCGGTCAGGAGGACAATTCCTCGGTTTGCCTCGGCCTCGGTTTTATCAAACCAAAATTTCCTCGGCCTCGGTCACAAATCCTGCCCTCGGTCGACCCTTGCAGAAAGCTTTATCTCGGTTGGCTGAGAATTGTTGTCGCAAATCTCCAGACTGTAAGACGTAAGTTCAGATTGGGAGAAACAGACAATTATGCTTTACTAATTGATTGCGGTGACTGGATAATCGTGCAAGAGAATCTCTTCGCGGTTTTCAAATTGTGTATTATCTTATGAACTTCAAAGAGTAAAATGACACAGCCAAAAGATGTTTGGTCACATCATCAGATTGTTGTTACCCTGATACAGTACACCCTATCACAGTATCAGTTATCAGTGTATCAGAATAATTTTAATTGAATTACCTTGAAATACCATGGCTTCACGACTGAGCACGCTGTATCATATTTATCTCGAAGTCTTTTTATTTTGTTTGCTCTCTCATTTTTATTTGACGATGTGGTACATAAATTAACTTATTATCTTACAGTATTGATTTAATACAATTTTTAACATACCAAAAATTTGTTTTTTTGAGTGAGAATTATAAAAAAAGCTGTTTCTCCCATAAGCTAGGTCTTTCCCAGAATGTTGAACATAGCTGAAAATGTTTGGTTATTTCTGGTTGATGCTGTTTCTTTTTTCTTGGTTTGTGGAATTTACCTCGGCTTCAAAAGTTCAACATCGCTACCAATCTACTCAGAAGAGTTTGTAAAGAATGATGTAGATTACATGGTTAGTGCCTACTCCGCCTAATCGTACATCAATGATAGCAAATGTAGATATTGCGGAATGATTCAATGGTATGATTAGTGATTAGTGATTACAGCTATACTATTGTTTGGCAAACAAGTCGGATATCAATTGTGGTTCATAGCTAAGCCAGGTGCCAAACAGGTTTGGCACATCAAACCACAAGTAATTATATTTTAAACATCCTGATTTAGTGGGTGTGTCATTCATAAAAGTAAAAAATGGAAAATGTTACATTGATATCAGACGTTAATAGATGCGATAAATATATTCTAAAGTGCTCCTCTTCAATCTTAAATCAACTCCAGATAAACAAATCGACCCTAATTTGCAGGTTCCCTACCAACAACCAACATTAAGTGCTGGGTTGATGTCTCTGTTATCACACGTTACACCTGTTATCTTCATACTTGTACTATGTACCTTACGTGCTTTGCAGGTAAGACACATTCTTTTCCATCATTGAAAACAGAATGACAATATCCTGTTAAGTGCAACTCTTATTCGACGATCACTATATCACTGTTTATATATAATGGAAGACATGGTAAAGGTACAAAACATTTTTTCAGAAAGAAGGATTTAACACAGGACTTAAATCCCAAGTGCCTCCCCAAAGACTGAGACAGCTCAAGATGCCTCCAGCAGTTGCAGGAGGGTTCCTCTACACTGGTTACTTCTTCTTTGGAGCTTGTCTGATGGGACTCCTGAACAAAGGAGTAGCTCATATGGTCGGGAGACTGTCCCCCAACTTCCTAGACGTGTGTAAACCAGATTATTCTGAGGAGACCTCTGTTTATACAAGACAAATGTGTACAGGTGTGTGAGGGCTCCATAGAAACAAGCTGCTCAGTTCTCAATCATAGTTTGTCTACATTGTGCAATAATTGCTACCTAGTATTTAATAAAATAATTGTTATGGTTTTTTGAGTTTTGTCAGTTCTTTAATGAGATAAAGCAAAAGGTGTATCTAGGAACTGAAGAAGATATCGTGAAAGCCTCTCTTTCATTCCCCTCCGAGTATGCTGCTCATCTTTCCTACGGGTTCCTGTTTAATGCAGCTATAGTATCCTGTATACCACAACTAAGAAAGGTAAGACCACGTCAGAGGAGGGGACTGCGTTCATTAATATTCCTTTTTTCTAATATCTTAACATGTGACAGTAAGATTTTTATGAGTTTTAATTATGTAGACCATATTTATAGGATTATAGTCTTATAATTGGAAATTAGGGATACTTTATGAAGAAATATTATAAAGTGCATCAAGAATTATTTTTTATTGTTCTGTTTGAAAATGTATACTTTACAGGTACCAATGACACGACTACTGTGCTTGTTTATCTTAGTGGTTCTACCCATCCTTGGTGGTTTATCAAGATACGCAGAGGGCTTTAACCACCTTGTTGATGTTATTGTTGGGATTGTTGTTGGATTTGCTTGTTCTGCATTTATCGTAGTGAACCCTCTCAGGTAATTAATACGATAATTATATTTCTCGAAGTATTCTGATACTATGCATAAACTTATCTCTGTGTGCACTTGATGTTTTTAACTTTATAAGTAGTAATATCTAATCATTTTCTTTTGAGTATTGTGAAAATCCATAGATGTTACAATAAATACGTTACTAATATTCAGGTTATTTGGAACATTAGAAAGCACTAACAGTTGCACTAACGAGGAGACAATCCAACCAGAAGATTCTAAGCAAACTTCTGACGTAGCGTTCCAGCAGACAATTAGCTGAACCCTTGACAGCAGACAATTAGCTGAACCCTTGACAGCAGACAGCAGATATGCTTCATTTCCAGAATGTTTGAAATGATTTACTGGCAGTATCATTGAAGTTCCATTTAAAGTGATACAGCTAAATTTCACTCCTGAAAATTGTACAGAACAGTTATATTGCATTATACACCTTGAACTTCAGATCGATTTCAAAATAGGTAGTCTTAAAATATTTTTTCTATAATTAATATGTTATCTGACAAATATGTTATCTTGACAAACTCTTCTAAAGAGGAACTGCAAACCCTGATGCGGGACAGGGATATAAGGAGGGGGTTATATGGCGCGGACGTAGATCGGACTTAGTTCCAACATAGTAGTAGTAGTTATCTGGAGTGTCGTTCTGGTTCACAGATTTAAAGAAAGGTAATATGCGTCAGATGTCTGAGACCCTCAATAGTAAGACCAAATTTTCAGTCAGTTTAAGATTCGTCTTTGATAAAAAAGAGATGCTCACCAAGCGTGAAAATTTTAAAGGTGGTGTTTTCATGAAAAGGATTCTGCACATGATTTTATGATTATCAAATGTTCGAAACAACAATCCCTAAAAGTGGTACATGTATGACTTTTATTTGTTCAATACCAGTGACCATGGAGCAAATAATCTCCCATTTTCAGTTTTTGAAGATGAAATTTCCAGGACTGACATTTTACAGTCTTGACCAAACCCTTGACAGCAGACAATTAGCTGAACCCTTGACAGCAGACAGCAGATATGCTTCATTTCCAGAATGTTTGAAATGATTTACTGGCAGTATCATTGAAGTTCCATTTAAAGTGATACAGCTAAATTTCACTCCTGAAAATTGTACAGAACAGTTATATTGCATTATACACCTTGAACTTCAGATCGATTTCAAAATAGGTAGTCTTAAAATATTTTTTCTATAATTAATATGTTATCTGACAAATATGTTATCTTGACAAACTCTTCTAAAGAGGAACTGCAAACCCTGATGCGGGACAGGGATATAATGAGGGGGTTATATGGCGCGGACGTAGATCGGACTTAGTTCCAACATAGTAGTAGTAGTTATCTGGAGTGTCGTTCTGGTTCACAGATTTAAAGAAAGGTAATATGCGTCAGATGTCTGAGACCCTCAATAGTAAGACCAAATTTTCAGTCAGTTTAAGATTCGTCTTTGATAAAAAAGAGATGCTCACCAAGCGTGAAAATTTTAAAGGTGGTGTTTTCATGAAAAGGATTCTGCACATGATTTTATGATTATCAAATGTTCGAAACAACAATCCCTAAAAGTGGTACATGTATGACTTTTATTTGTTCAATACCAGTGACCATGGAGCAAATAATCTCCCATTTTCAGTTTTTGAAGATGAAATTTCCAGGACTGACATTTTACAGTCTTGACCAATTTTTTCACCCGCAACCAATTATTAAGTCAACTATAGATGCCAAATGACACGATTGAGGAGCTGGAAGTTTGATTTCGGTCGGAGGAAGCCCACAGCAGAAAGCTTAACAAAACGAAAAGTTGTATTTTCAAAAGTCTGTCCCATTTTCAAATATGAAATTTTCTGAACACAAATTTGACAGATTGGATGAAATGTTTGGCCAGAAACCAATTAGTCAGTTAATTGATGATGGTATGAAACCAAATTGGATACTGGGAGTCAAAATCCCGAACAAAATTGCAAAATCATGTTGTCCCAATCTTTGTCCCATTTTCAGTTTTTGAAGATGAAATTTCCAGGACTGAAATATTACAGTCATGACCGATTTTTTACCCGCAACCAATTAGTAAGTCAACTATAGATGCCAAATGACACGATTGAGGTGCTGGAAGTTTGATTTCGGTCGGAGGAAACCCACAGCAGAAAGCGTAACAAAACGAAAAATTGTATTTTCAAAAGTCTGTCCCATTTTCAAATATGAAATTTTCTGAACACAAATTTGACAGATTGGATGAAATGTTTGGCCAGAAACCAATAAGTCAGTTAATTGATGATGGTATGAAACCAAATTGAGGTACTGGGAGTCAAAATCCCGAATAAAATTACAAAATCATGTTGTCCCAATCTCTGTCCCATTTTCAGTTTTTGAAGATGACATTTTCAGGACTGAAATTTTACAGTCTTGACCGATTTTTTGACACGCAACCAATAAGTAAGTCAACTATAGATGCCAAATGACACGATTGAGATGCTGGAAGTTTGATTTCGGTCGGAGGAAGCCCACAGCAGAAAGTGTAACAAAACGAAAAGTTGTATTTTCAAAAGTCTGTCCCATTTTCAAATATGAAATTTTCTGAACACAAATTTGACAGATTGGATGAAATGTTTAGCCAGAAACCAATTAGTCAGTTAATTGATGATGGTATGAAACCAAATTGAGGTACTGGGAGTCAAAATCCCGAATAAAATTACAAAATCATGTTGTCCCAATCTCTGTCCCATTTTCAGTTTTTGAAGATGAAATTTCCAGGACTGAAATTTACAGTCTTGACCGATTTTTTGACCCGCAACCAATAAGTAAGTCAACTATAGATGCCAAATGACATGATTGAGGAGCTGGAAGTTTGATTTCGGTCGGAGGAATTTCACAGCAGAAAGCTTAACAAAACGAAAAGTTGTATTTTCAAAAGTCTGTCCCATTTTCAAATATGAAATTTTCTGAACACAAATTTGACAGATTGGATGAAATGTTTGGCCAGAAACCAATTAGTCAGATAATTGATGATGGTATGAAACCAAATTGAGGTACTGGGAGTCAAAATCCCGAATAAAATTACAAAATCATGTTGTCCCAATCTCTGTCCCATTTTCAGTTTTTGAAGATGAAATTTCCAGGACTGAAATATTACAGTCATGACCGATTTTTTACCCGCAACCAATTAGTAAGTCAACTATAGATGCCAAATGACACGATTGAGGTGCTGGAAGTTTGATTTCTGTCGGAGGAAGCCCACAGCAGAAAGTGTAACAAAACGAAAAGTTGTATTTTCAAAAGTTTGTCCCATTTTCAAAGATGAAATTTTCTGAACACAAATTTGACAGATTGGATGAAATGTTTGGCCAGAAACCAATTAGTCAGTTAATTGATGATGGTATGAAACCAAATTGAGGTACTGGGAGTCAAAATCCCGAATAAAATTACAAAATCATGTTGTCCCAATCTCTGTCCCATTTTCAGTTTTTGAAGATGAAATTTCCAGGACCGAAATTTTACAGTCTTGACCGATTTTTTGACCCGCAACCAATAAGTAAGTCAACTATAGATGCCAAATGACACGATTGAGGTGCTGGAAGTTTGGATTTCGGTCGGAAGAAGCCCACAGCAGAAAGCGTAACAAAACGAAAAGTTGTATTTTTAAAAGTCTGTCCCATTTTCAAATATAAAATTTTCTGAACACAAATTTGACAGATTGGATGAAATGTTTGGCCAGAAACCAATTAGTCAGTTAATTGATGATGGTATGAAACCAAATTGAGGTACTGGGAGTCAAAATCCCGAATAATATTACAAAATCATGTTGTCCCAATCTCTGTCCCATTTTCAGTTTTTGAAGATGAAATTTCCATGACTGAAATTTTACAGTCTTGACCGATTTTTTGACCCGCAACCAATAAGTAAGTCAACTATACATGCCAAATGACACGATTGAGATGCTGGAAGTTTGATTTCGGTCGGAGGAAGCCCACAGCAGAAAGTGTAACAAAACGAAAAGTTGTATTTTCAAAAGTCTGTCCCATTTTCAAATATGAAATTTTCTGAACACAAATTTGACAGATTGGATGAAATGTTTGGCCAGAAACCAATTAGTCAGTTAATTGATGATGGTATGAAACCAAATTGGATACTGGGAGTCAAAATCCCGAATAAAATTACAAAATCATGTTGTCCCAATCTCTGTCCCATTTTCAGTTTTTGAAGATGAAATTTCCAGGACTGAAATTTTACAGTCTTGACCGATTTTTTGACCCGCAACCAATAAGTAAGTCAACATTAGATGCCAAATGACACGATTGAGATGCTGGAAGTTTGATTTCGGTCGGAGGAAGCCCACAGCAGAAAGTGTAACAAATTGAAAAGTTGTATTTTTAAAAGTCTGTCCCATTTTCAAATATGAAATTTTCTGAACACAAATTTGACAGATTGGATGAAATGTTTATCCAGAAACCAATTAGTCAGTTAATTGATGATGGTATGAAACCAAATTGAGGTACTGGGAGTCAAAATCCCGAATAAAATTACAAAATCATGTTGTCCCAATCTCTGTCCCATTTTCAGTTTTTGAAGATGAAATTTCCATGACTGAAATTTTACAGTCTTTACCGATTTTTTGACCCGCAACCAATTAGTAAGTCAACTATAGATGCCAAATGACACGATTGAGGTGCTGGAAGTTTGGATTTCGGTCGGAAGAAGCCCACAGCAGAAAGCGTAACAAAACGAAAAGTTGTATTTTCAAAAGTCTGTCCCATTTTCAAATATGAATTTTTCTGAACACAAATTTGACAGATTGGATGAAATGTTTAGCCAGAAACCAATTAGTCAGTTAATTGATGATGGTATGAAACCAAATTGAGGTACTGGGAGTCAAAATCCCGAATAAAATTACAAAATCATGTTGTCCCAATCTCTGTCCCATTTTCAGTTTTTGAAGATGAAATTTCCAGGACCGAAATTTTACAGTTTTGACTGATTTTTTGAACCGCAACCAATAAGTAGGTCAATTATAGAGGCTAATTGACACGATTGAGATGCTGGAAGTTTGATTTCGGTCGGAGGAAGCCCACAGCAGAAAGCGTAACAAAACGAAAAGTTGTATTTTCAAAAGTCTGTCCCATTTTCAAATATGAAATTTTCTGAACACAAATTTGACAGATTGGATGAAATGTTTAGCCAGAAACCAATTGCAATGAGTCAGTTAATTGATGATGGTATGAAACCAAATTGAGGTACTGGGAGTCAAAATCCCGAATAAAATTACAAAATCATGTTGTCCCAATCTCTGTCCCATTTTCAGTTTTTGAAGATGACATTTCCAGGACTGAAATTTTACAGTCTTGACCGATTTTTTGACCCGCAACCAATAATTAAGTCAACTATAGATGCCAAATGACACGATTGAGATGCTGAAAGTTTGATTTCGGTCGGAGGAAGCCCACAGCAGAAAGTGTAACAAAACGAAAAGTTGTATTTTCAAAAGTTTGTCCCATTTTCAAAGATGAAATTTTCTGAACACAAATTTGACAGATTGGATGAAATGTTTGGCCAGAAACCAATTAGTCAGTTAATTGATGATGGTATGAAACCAAATTGGATACTGGGAGTCAAAATCCCGAACAAAATTGCAAAATCATGTTGTCCCAATCTTTGTCCCATTTTCAGTTTTTGAAGATGACATTTCCAGGACTGAAATTTTACAGTCTTTTACCCGCAACCAATTAGTAAGTCAACTATAGATGCCAAATGACACGATTGAGATGCTGGAAGTTTGATTTCGGTCGGAGGAAGCCCACAGCAGAAAGTGTAACAAAACGAAAAGTCGTATTTTCAAAAGTCTGTCCCATTTTCAAATATGAAATTTTCTGAACACAAATTTGACAGATTGGATGAAATGTTTGGCCAGAAACCAATTAGTCAGTTAATTGATGATGGTATGAAACCAAATTGAATACTGGAAGTCAAAATCCCGAACAAAATTGCAAAATCATGTTGTCCCAATCTTTGTCCCATTTTCAGTTTTTGAAGATGAAATTTCCAGGACTGAAATTTTACAGTCTTGACCGATTTTTTGACCCGCAACCAATAAGTAAGTCAACATTAGATGCCAAATGACACGATTGAGATGCTGGAAGTTTGATTTCGGTCGGAGGAAGCCCACAGCAGAAAGTGTAACAAATTGAAAAGTTGTATTTTTAAAAGTCTGTCCCATTTTGAAATATGAAATTTTCTGAACACAAATTTGACAGATTGGATGAAATGTTTGGCCAGAAACCAATTAGTCAGTTAATTGATGATGGTATGAAACCAAATTGAGGTACACTACTGGGAGTCAAAATCCCGAACAAAATTGCAAAATCATGTTGTCCCAAATTTAGGAACCGACCGGAAATCCGGCTGAATCCGGTTCCGGCCGGATATCCGGCTTCAAAATCCGGTTCCGGTTCCGGCTCCGGCTGGAAAAAAATTTGCCGGATTTCAGTTTTTTTTACCGAAAATAAATCAAAAAAATATTTCGGCTAATAATGAACAGGGTAGCCTGAATCGTGGAAAAAAAGTGGTTTTCAGAAAAACTTTAAAAAAATTTTGACTTAGAAGTTTTTCGGTCCGAGTCGTTCTCGAGACGTACCTCCTGTATCGAGAGCTCCCGCTTCCGAGCTCGTGTTGCAAAGGGGAGGCCTGCCTTCCAAGATCACATTACCGGGGGAAACCTCGAGTCCAGAATTGTGTATCGATGGGTAGGTGCGGACTTCGAAAAACCGAAAAAATATTTTCGGCTAATAATGAACAGGGTAGCCTGAATCGTGGAAACCTCTAGCAGACACTACCGTCGAGAACAAATTGGGTGCACTTCGACGAGATCTGATCAACATCACCAAGACAGCTCAAGTCACACCCAATCTCACTCCAAAACAACGAACTGCCCTCAGAAACCTGAAGAACAATGAAGACCTTCAAATTTCCGTCGCTGACAAAACAGCAGAGTTTGTAGTAATGCCTAAAGAAGATCACATCAGGACAACTACAACTCACCTCAACAATGGAAACGTCTACAAGAAGATCGATATACCACAGGATAAACTGGGCAAACAAAAGTACATAAACAAGTTAACTAAAACTCTAGAAGACGATGTTAACTCAACATTCAAGAACATTGCCAAGAGTCGTAATCTCCCTCAAGATGTTACTAACCTGTTAATGAGCCATCACACCACCCTCGCTACTGCAAGAGTGATGCTTAAAACCCACAAGTACACAAGTGATGAGATCAAGACTCTTAACCCTGACACAATGAAAACTAGACTTATTGTTTCAGGCTGCAACTCCCCTTTCCACAAAATCCTTTGGTTCGTCTGTCACATTCTATCTCCTCTGATGAATCTAGTACCTCCTCATTTGAAAAACACTCACGATTTTCTTCGAAGGATTAGAAACATCACACCAAATGATCTGAAGAGTCTTACTTTCTTTACAGCAGACGTCGAAGCTTTATACACCAATATCAACGTACTAACAGCAATAGAAGATGTCATGGAATTTGCCAAAGAAAATAGACAGTCAATCAGTACATACGGTCTCCATCTCTCTGATTTACAAGAACTACTATAGAGACAACCCTAGGAAAGTCATATTTTGTCTACAACAATCAAGTCTACCTACAGCTTCTTGGATTGTTCATGGGAACCAACCCTGCACCTATACTAGCTACTGTCAAAATGTGGAAAAACTTTCCATCTGCGTAGACCTGAGGATAACACTGCCCACCTACAGCAGGTTTACGACGATCTAAACGGAGCCACCACCAACAGACGAAAAGCTCAGCAACTGTGCAACCTCATCGAACAACAAGATCCTGACAAACTTATCAAACTAACTGTAGACTACCCTGACAATCAGAACGACTTTGTTCCCTTCCTCAACACGTTAATAAAGATCGACTCAGATGGAATAGTACATTCTAGACTCTACAGAAAACCACAGAAAAAGCCACTCACCCTCCACTACAACTCTCATCATACAACACGTACAAAGAATGCTACTGTTGAGAGTATGTACAACACCGCAGAGGCAGTCTCTAACAACAGAGAAAACGAGAAGTACTCAGAAAAGATGATAGATAAACTTCTCATCAACAACGGCTACACTGATAGAGTCTTAGAAACCATAAAGAACAAGAGAAAACGTAGAAAGAGAATTAATCAGAACGTACAGAACAAAGACCAAGACGGAGCGATTCTCAAACTACCCTATGTCAACGAAGCTACTAGTCGCAAATACAGAGATGCTGTCAGACATAGTGGACTCCCCATCAAAATTGTCGAGAAACCTGGACGGAAACTGAAGGATCTCCTTACAGACTCCAGACCCCTTGACAAGAAATCCTGTACAACATCAAACTGCAGAACATGCGCAGCTTTAACCGATGGAGAATGCACCACAACTAACACCGTCTACCAGATCACTTGCGAAGTAGACAATTGTACCGAGAACTATGGTGGGGAAACATACAGACCGATCAAGTGCAGGTTCGACGAGCATTACCGTAGTGCGGCAAATCCAACAGCAAAATCTTACGAAGATAAGCCACTAGCAAAGCACTACAGGGAAAGTCACCCTCAGCACAAAGGCCCCCCAAAACTTAAACTTCAAATCGTAGATAGAGGAACATCACTCATCAACAGAAAGATTAAAGAAGCCCGATTTTTAGTTGAAAATAAACCAACACTCAACGATAAAACAGAGTTGAACAATCTAACACAGTTTTTAGTTGAGTGACGTGTAAATAGTAATATTCTCGTTTAATTCTTTTATCTCTTTTAATCTTTTATCTCCTGTATAACGTCACGCTATTCGTTAATTTTCAGATGAGCCCTATTTGATAAATTTTGTCAGTTTTATGTTCATATTTGCTCCGATTTCGTTAAAAACTATTTACGGTTGACAACTATTTTACAGTTATATATTTTGTTTGAAATAAATTTCGTCGTCAAATTTTTAATGTGAATATTGATCGTTATAATTGAATTAATACTATTTCAGAATATGAGTATGACGTAGAAATGTCGATACGTTATTCAGCTATTTATTTCCATTAGAATCTGTCTTCACTGAGTCTATTCAGAAACAATCAGAAATTTGAATAAAAGAACTATCAAATCATGAGACTCAAAAACACTACACGAATCCACCACAAAATCATGTTAATATGTAGAAGTAGCTGGATTTCCTATATAATGTGGTTTGTGACACGAATAAGTCGACATACTCTAAATGTCCTAAAAGTCGACAATTCAATTCTCAGTCTTCAACAGAGACTATTATTAAGCTATTGTTCTAATTAACTTTCTAAAAATCAATTGAAGAAATCTGTCCGCTAATTTAAACCGGGCCATCGACATTTAGAGTACCTGTATTGTAGCCAGATGGCCTTGGCGTATCTAATAATAAATCAAATTAAACTAAATTTTAATTAAATTATTTAACTGAATGGCTGATCTAAACCTGCTGTTCTTATATAACTGCACTTTATAACGTTCTCTCTGCTGTACTTTAAAAATGTTCATGGTGTTATTGTCGGCTGTGTTACTTGCTAGTGACAGTGCCCCTCCACCAATACCGACTGGGGTACCAATACCAACTAACACGCCGGACCCGACCGCTACCACTCCTAAACCAACAAAGCCTACTCCCAAACCTACTACACAGAGTCCTAATCCTAAACGTGAGTTTTAAAGATTAGTTTGTTGATTCGTATTGTCCTATGACCATTTCTCGTACAAGAGCTAAAAGCTGCTCCTTAAATCCAAGATACTCTGATGTAAATATATGGAGTCGAATTTAAACAATTTATCTCTATTTTCCGGTTCACTCAAAAATCTGATGTTTTCGTTCTAAATGAGTAAATTGTTCAGCTTGTGAGGACTCCAACTCTGTGACCTGCCGGGCTGGACAGTGTTGGTTCCCTTACGATGAGTTCTGCCCCAAAACATGCGGACTTTGCGATTAGGAGATATGTGCTGATACGAGATACAAGGTTAACGTGGATATTGTTGAGCTCCAGGGATATCTTTCTAGTTGACAATCTATACGATTTTACTATTCTACTTATCGGGGTGTAATAAACGAGTGTTTTATTAGTGACATTATAATACACAGACTGGTTAATTGTAATTATTAGTAGTAATTTGTAGTAAGTAATTTGTAGTAGTAATTAGTAGTAAGTAATACCTGTTTAGATGCTCTGATAGTGCTCATCCCACTTAGCGTCCCTGACACGTGACTCATTACTGGACTCCGCACTGAAAACAAGAGGTTATCAAGTTATATAAACATATTCACCAACTGTATATCAAATTAGTATGTGATAGTAAAGCAATTTCAGATCAAGACGTAGTGTTGATAAAAGTCTACTTGTCATTATTTTAGCACATAAATGCTCGAGATTGCTTTAAAAACAAGAAAGCTTGTTAAAAGTTAATATCACTAACATATAGCTTCCACTCGCCGTACTTCCACGGAAGTTTTGAGGTAAAAGTAGAGAACCATTGCCATGAACAGTAGGAGAGGTAGTAAGATGAGAATGAAGTAGTAGTTTGAGATACACAGGACTATCATTGACGCTGAAAATGAGAAGGTTAATATAGATGATAAACAAATGATAAAGAAATCGACAAGTCCAATCTTGATTACAAGGCCAGGTTTACATACTTCAAAGTTAGACTATTAAAGGATTATTCGATCAGCGATTATCTATTACCTTCAGTATAAAATACGATAGGAGATAACATTGTTAAAATTCTGCACTCCCGCCAAATCGCCCGCCCGAATTTATAAAAAAAATCTTGTGTGCTACTATTGCACTGTTCCTAATAAGGATTAAGGGTTGTGTTGTGGTCTAAGTGTGTAAAAAGTTTCCGTGCTAAATGATCTTGGGTTTTTGGATGACAGCTATGTGTTATAGTTGTTTAATGGGATCCATTAGATAGTACTTACTTGTACTTGATTAGGTCTCCTCAATCATTCGAGTGGCCTGCACCAATGAACTCCCGTTTGTGACGTATTATCTCCCTCCAAAGTTTGCGGTCACTAGCCATCTCGCTCGCTCCTTCTAGGTCTATGTGAGTGTTTCCTGTAAACGCTGCAGCATCTTCCGGCAAACATTTCCTCCAGTCCTTTCTTGGACGACCCCTAGATCTTCTCCCATGCGCAGGGGTCCAGTTAAGCAGGTACTTAGGAAGCCTAGTGTCTGGCATTCTGGCGACATGGCCAAACCAACGCAGGCGGTTTGCTCCTATGTACGTCTCTACTGGATTTATCTTTGCACGCTCCAGCACTTTTTGGTTGTGTTCCAAACCTCACTACCGTATAACAATATTGTCAAAACCGCTGCCTTATAAATCCTGATCTTTGTATAAGACTGGATGTTACGGTTTTTCCATATATTACTAAGTTGATTGAGGGCTCCGGAAGCTTTCTGAATCCTAGCTGACAGCTCACGGTCGATAGTACCGTCGCTGGAAATAATTGTACCTAAGTACGTAAAGTCACTAACTTGCTGCACTGGCGTGTATATGAGGATATAACGGAGATATGACCGGTTGTCTGGCTAGTCAATCAGGATGACTAGTCAATTATTTCACCTTGTTCCAAGAATCAAATTACATGAAGATATGACCGGTTGTCTGACAAGCCAATCGGGATTTCAATTAACATCCGTGCAGGGTTGTTAACTATTGTCTAGGAGACGGGATATCCGGTACTGATAGAGGTAGTGATCGCTATATAAACCAAGAATTTTACAGATAATTTATAAGTCCGTTATCATTATCGACTTTATTCAGTTGAAGTAACAATTTATTGTTCTTCTACGGTCCAGTACGGTTATCCGGCAGGGTACATGGCACATGGCGCGCGGCGTATAATTTTATGATAACTTGTGTTACAATTGCAATTTAATTGTTGCAATACGCGTTACATTTATGACAGGTTCGAAGTAGCATTTTTAAAAATAAATTCGTTTTAAGCTCTCTTAGTCTCTTAGGAACTATTTCGAGGTTAAACTGGTTGATACGATGTAATTGATATTTTTCATAATTGATCATCAGATTTGTTTTAGATTCCCGTATGTAGACTTCTAGCTACAACAGTAGAGTAGTAAAGGTTGAACCATGGATTAATGAAACTATTTCCAAAATGAATTATTCATTTCAGGTGGGTATTTTATTTAGAGAGTTTACGAAAACTTGACAATTTAACTTCCGTAAGATGAAAGATACTGTACGTGGTGGTTGTCCACGATTTGGATGTAATAATCTGATTATCACAGCAATACTTATAGAGCGCTTACGGTCCTTATTTACTCTACCCTAAGATCGCAACAACTAAGCTGTACCACCCATGTGAGGTTGTCACGTTGTAGCAAGCGACCATTTAAGTGTAAGCGGAGTCTGAAATTATATAAACTGTGAAAATAACACCTCACCTACAAATGCAGTGAACATGGTAGCAAACTGACTGGATACGAACGAGAGTCTCTCATCACAAAATAGCGTGTCCTTTGAGAACCGGTTAATCAGAATTCCTGAAATTAGTTACATTGTATGTGTTATTGCAGAAATAGTGCAGTGGAAAATTGTTTTGGTCGCCACTAATAAAACAGATTTCCGACTCCCTGACTTTCTTTGTAGGATACAGGTTATACGGAAAATGTACATTATATCTGTGAGAGAAATAGAGTGACTTACCTATTGGAGTGATGTCAAAGAAACGGATGGGAGATTTCAATATTCCAGAAAATGCCATGTTGTGTAGAGCCTTGGAGGCCTGGGTGCCGGCATAAGCTGGGAGTATTAGAGTGTATTAGATTTTACTATAGTGTATTTAATCATTGATTTATAGTTCATATTCTTTGTTCTTCTGTTGAGAAATTATTTGTAATGGAGCTCGAACCAGTCATAGTCACCACGAAAATATAGAGTAATGAACCTTGATTAGATTTGATACACAAGCGTTTACGTGCAAGACAACTTACCAATAAAGAAGACCAGAAGACAGTAGAAGAGTACTGTCTCAACGGCCAGCACAACGTAAGTTTTAAAAGTGTTATCAGATCCACTCTCTCCCATCTCCACCATCTCTACCCTGGTTAGGAACAACATGGAATTAGAATGAAGATTTCCTGATAATGTATAAATGTATAATGTACAAAAAACAGAGGAACCACTATGATAATGTATAAATGTATAATGTACAAATAACAGAGGAACCACTATGATAATGTATAAATGTATAATGTACAAAAAACAGAGGAACCACTATGATAAGAAAAGAAACAGCAGAAAAAACACTGACCAGGTCAAGGCCTCTTCCTCCTGAAGTATCTTCACTGTCTGAGCTCCAGCTACCATTATCAGGATCATGGGAAATGTGATAAACCCAAAAGAGAGGTTCCAGTACTTGAAATACATCCTCTTATCTATCAGCCCCGTCTTACGCTCCTCCTTTTCTTGTTTCGGCTTTGTTTTCTTCTCTTTCTTTGTATCCCCCTGTAAGTTTAATGTAAGAGGTCAAACACGGTAAAACCAGCGCCTTCAGCGTGGTTTATTTCATCTGCTCATGGTTAGAAGGTCTTAGTAATTTGTTGATCGAGACTGTAGGACGTAGTAACATAAACTGAATATAGTGATTTACTAACAGTATCTTTTTCTTTTTGGTCTTCATCTTCTCTCAGTTTAGTTTGCTCCTTTATTAAATCTGTAATATACATTAATTTTACAAATTAAATGTAGCTTGCTATAAGAAAGCCAGGGGTGCCATATAAAAACTTATATTTCTACTCAATAAAACATCAAACATTCACTTGAAGAGTCCAGTAATAATATTAGTAGTAATAATATTAACCCTTGTCGTGCAGTTCCTCCCATGTACCATGCTCTGCTATCCTACCCACTATACTGCTTCCTTCCTTTACTGCCCTGAAACCAAAGAGATTAATTGTAAACTGTGAGAGAAACACAGGATAATAGTCACGTGGTATGTCACGTGATAGGTTACAGCTTCTAATAATAAGGGTTGGTAGCTCAATTTGTAGAGTGTGTTAAATGTTAATGGTACATTCACAGTACTGCTGCACAACGACAATCCGCCTCCCCATCAGACATGTGTAATTTAATAAAGCACACTGCGAGGTTCCTGTTATAATGATCTGTACTAACCTGTTCATAAGGTAGATATGATCCAGTTGAGACAGATACTCTGTGTTGTGAGTTACCAGTATTACTGTCTTGTCCTGCAGTTGTCCCTTTATCAACCTGTTCACATATTGTATAACAAGAGAAACCTTGGATATCCTTGGAAGGTATGAGTCAACAAATATCCTTGAAAGGACGTATGAATCAACAAATCTGTAAAATATTCATGGATGAACATTGAACATTAGAAAAACATTAAAATAATATTTAAAACAAATGGAAAAGAGTGGCATAATGATCGCCAGGTTAATGTATCTCGACATTTGTGGGGAAGTGAATAATATTTTTGTAGACAAATGCAAGTGATTAACCAATCAGCTTTCAGCATCGACCAATTAAAACCCAAGATCGCTGCCACGCAGTCACGTGTCAAAACATTGATGGTCCTCCTCCCCATCTAGACCTATTTATGTGGTACCTGTTGAAGATATGGCTAGCACACTTGGTGTCCACTGCGCTGAGAGGGTCGTCCAATAAAACAACATTCTCCTCTCCGTACACCACTCTTGCTAAACTCACCTGAAAACAAAGTGGTCACGACGTGATGATCTGGTGCTTTATTACCTCTAATATTACCTGTAATATTACCTGTAAAATCTTTGTATTATTCAGTTATTGTTTCATATGCTTACTGTCGACTGATCGATCAGATATCAATCGAATAGAATAGAACTCATATGGTCATTAACTCAATTACGGACACCACATTTTAATTAATTCAAACATACTCCTTTGGTAGCGCGATACAATCAACGTGATGACTCAAATTAATAATTATTAGATAACCTTATTACATGTCATCTCGTTTATCTCTCTTTGCAAAACCTGAAACCTCGTTAGTCGGTTATACCCCTCACATGATCGTGCCAGATTGCATCTCCAGACAATATGCGGTGGATCATATTCCTTGGAAAAGTATTTAAGCCAGTCCCAAATCGTTACAACTGTTTAACATTGTCTCCTCACAGCAACTTTATGGAACGTTCTTCTATTCTCAGCTGTAAGGACTGCCAGGTGACTTATCGGAATCTTTACAATGACGTCACTGGTCCTACAGAAGCTACAACATTCCTTCCCATCTGCTCCCGCCACGAGGCTGAAACGAGAAGAAAGCTTCACCTCCAAACCTCAGCTACATCCCGCCCTACTGAACCCTCCAAACCTCAGCTACATTCCGTCCTACTGAACCCTCCAAACCTCAGCTACATCCCGCCCTACTGAACCCTCCAAACCTCAGCTACATTCCGTCCTACTGAACCCTCCAAACCTCACTCCAAACCTCACTCCTCCAAACCTCAGCTACATTCCGTCCTACTGAACCCTCCAAACCTCACTCCAAACCTCACTCCTCCAAACCTCAGCTACATTCCGCCCTACTGAACCCTCCAAACCTCACTCCAAACCTCACTCCTCCAAACCTCAGCTACATTCCGCCCTACTGAACCCTCCAAACCTCACTCCAAACCTCACTCCTCCAAACCTCACTCCTCCGCTCCCTTGCTAACATCTCCTGCTCCCGTCTCCCTACCAACCTCTACCTCTCTAACCACTTTACCTAAACCTTCCTCCTCCGCTCCCTTGCTAACATCTCCTGCTCCCGTCTCCCTACCAACCTCTACCTCTCTAACCACTTTACCTAAACCTCCCTCCTCCGCTCCCTTGCTAACATCTCCTGCTCCCGTCTCCCTACCAACCTCTACCTCTCTAACCACTTTACCTAAACGTCCTCCAACTTGGTCCCCTGAAGGCTGCTTGTTACTCTACTATAAAGTCAAGAAGAGTTTCAGAGACCCTGTCTCCTTGATAAAATATGCTGGAACTACTAGTAAATCCTTCGAGATAAAACGACATATAGCTGAGCTGATGATTCTGGGCTACGAGACCTTCACCAGGACCAAGCAAAGAATGGATAGAAAACGGATGGATATGACGAATGGTGTGTACGGAATTGGTCAACTTGGTCTGAGTGCCAAGTGTCGCAAGATTCTCAGCACTCGAGCTATGAGGAGGAGACGACACAAGGATGGACTTTTATTTGGAAAGTTTAACAAATCTGTCTAATTCTGTTTATTTTTACCACGATTGCACATTATTACTGTAACTAAACCTTTTAATCCGTGCAGTTTTACTAACATTTTCAAAGATAGCTGATATTAACTATTGATCAATAAGACATCCTTGGTATAACTTAAAAAAGTAAATATGAAATCTATAAAATAACATAAATTAACAAAAATAAACATAAAAACACTGAAAAGATATCGTAGGATACTCTACCTCCCTACATAATATAATACTATAATACCTCCGCCACTGAGTGCTGCGCGCTATAATTCCCGACAGCTTGCTGGAGGGAATTTGCGGGCACGAAGTTGCGGAGGTATTATATTTTATAATACGTTCCGGTTCCGATTGCAGAAGGGGTGTAATCCGATACGTGCGCATCATACAATATAGTGTCTAATATATAGAACGCCAGTGTTATTTGTTTTGAAACTTGCCGCCAGCCAGTCTGAGTCTGGGCTGATAATACCCTCGCTTCTCTTGCGGGAAAAATGAGCAAATTATCAGCCCTCGATGTCCCCGAGTTTTAGTGGATATAATTCCCGGAAGGTATTATACAATAAAGGTAACTCCCTGGGGAGTAGCTAACTGAGTAGTGATAATATGATAAAACACTACTAAATAATATAATAACTAACCCTGGCTCTCTGTCCTCCTGATAACTGCACACCTCGTTCTCCGACTATTGTGTTCAGACCGTTTGGAAGGTCTTCTAAATCCTATGGTAGTGTTTCTCGGTCAAAAACAATCAGTCTGCCATTTCTCTGCTAAATCCAAAATAAGCAGGTTTTCTCAATAATTTCAATAATAATTGTCGGACTGATTTGTAGTTAGTCGCAGTCTCTCGGAGAAACTTAATGAAAGTTTTTGAAACTGTATTGGGTTGTGTAGCACAACCTGTGCCTCTAGTAAATCTAGCAACTAAACCTAGTTATAAACTAGCTCTACTATTAGGTATAAAGTACTAAGTATTTATAAAACCTGTGTGAGATAGCAGGACTCAATTATACTGTTCAGCTTCTTTTCATTCATTGGTCGGTTAAATAAAATGTTATCTTTAACACTACCTGATGAGAGAAGTGTTGGTTAACCTTGGTAACCATGGTAACCATGTTAACCATGTACGACGTTAACCACGACGTTAACCACGACGTTAACCATGTACGACGTACCATGTACGTACCATGTACGTGACAGGCTGACTTATTAACAACTGTCACGTGTAGCTGGTCTGCCAATCAGTAAAAATACACTAAATATGCAGTGATTAAACGAAGCTATAATGAGAGTAGGAGAAGCTATAATGAGAGTAGGAGAAGCTATAATGAGAGTAGGAGAAGCTATAATGAGAGTAGGAGATAAGGAGAGTAGGAGAAGCTATAATGAGAGTAGGAGAATATTTACCGTTGAAGATCCACGGAACTTGGCTGTAAAAGCCAATAGCAGATGGACAATAGATGGAACCTTTAACGCTATCCATCTCCTGAGATTATATCCCTGTATCATTAAAAATATCTCAATACCTCCAAACATTTTTAGCTTATCATTAGCAACTTTTGTCATCGATACTCAATAACACTTTATATTTGGATTTAGATAGTTAGATAGACACAAGGTTTACTGCAACTGTAACACGTTTCACAATACGTTACCTTTATAATGGACATGATAATAGAGGATTTACCGCAGCCCACAGCCCCCAGGATACCAACAAGACCACCCTTCTTAACCTCCAGGTTAATGTCAGACAGGATAAAACTGTTATCTCCTCCCCACGTGCTGGTCAGGTGGTTTATTCTCAGTGCAACTAGTTCAGGGGAATACATGTCAGTATTCTCAGTACAGCTAATACATGTCAGTCAAATAGTACATGTCAATACATGTCAGTCAAACAATATAATTAAAAACGTGCAATACGAATTCCCACTCCAGCTAGGTTGCAGTATCTCCTTTATAACCACCTACTTAACTAACTCTTACCTTCAGGATCTTCCTTTTGCGGGGTTTTACCGGTAGTCACGTGACCATTTCCTTCATGACCATTTTCTACCACAGAATTGTCCCTCAAACCAGCTGACCCATTTTCAATACATAATGCAGAGTCATCTGTTTCTTGTTCCTCGAGAAGTAGAAATTTCTGAGGGAGATTTATTGTATTTTGGTGGCAAGAGATTTTTATTGGTGGCAAGAGATTTTTATTGGTGGCAAGAGATTTTTATAATCTCAGGAAATAGTGATCGCGTAACTTATAACCTCTCCTATTTCAATGACCATAGTACACCCTTTACGAGGTGCCACTATTAAGTACAGTAATCTGTTCTGGGTGATTCCAGTTTAAACAGATGAGGTGCAACAAAAAACTATGGATCTAGACCAGTAAAGGTCGATAAAAAACTACCAGGTTCGAGGGGCCAGCTACCCTTCAACCTTAAAATAGCTACTGAAACATAAATGAATAACCAAAAGTGGAGTGACTCTCGGAGTTCAAGGAGGGGTGTAGCCAGGATGAAGTGCTCTGGGCAAAGCCGCAAGGACCCCAGTGTGCAGATGAGAACAAAGAAGTCGCCTTATTTCAACAGTGTTATTAGTTCACAGCATATCACTCATGTGGACCCGGAGAAGGGGAGAGCACTCCCATGCAACTTTATCAAACACAGCATTAATGTGGGAACGTGGAATGTGTTATCATTGGAGAGCAGTTCCTCAAAGCTGTATGAATTGTCACAGAATATGTCGGCATATAAAATGGATGTCTTGGGGCTGACAGAGACGCACAGACCCGGCACTGGTGAGGTTACCTTGGATGATGGGTCCCTCTTTATTAACTCAGGAAGAAGTGATGGGTACAGACGACAAGGGGTAGGTTTAGTCCTCTCGAAGAAGACTAAAAATTCATTGATTTCATACAGTCCGATATCAGAACGTATTCTTGCAGCGAGGCTGCACAGTCGACATATCAACATTTCGATTGTGATAGCTTATGCTCCAACTGAGGATGCAGCAGTCGGGGTAAAGGATGACTTTTATCAGCAGCTATCTGGGGCATTTGATGAACTACCAGCTCATGACGTGAAGTTTTTACTTGGAGATCTAAATGCTCGCATTGGCCAAGATAACTCAGCTTGGTCCGGTGTGATTGGTAAGCATTCCCTTCACGTTTCATCAAATGACAACGGCCTTCGACTATTAGATTTTTGTGCATTACATCAGCTGACAATCGGTGGGACGCTTTTCCAGCATCGTGATATTCATAAAGGAAGTTGGAAGTCTCCAGATGGCCGCACAGTAAATCAGATTGACCATGTCTGTATTTCTACCAAGTGGAGTCACTCTCTACTTGACGTAAGATCATGCAGGGGTGCAGACATTGGCTCCGATCATTATTTGGTTCGGGGTCAATTTAGAGTCAAACTTATGGCAGTTCAAAAAATGAACGCCTCTCGTAGGATATCTCCAGCAATTGAGAATCTTAGAGATCAGTCCAAGGTTGAAGAGTACTGCATTGCTCTTCAAAATCGTTTTAGCTGCCTACCAATGGAGGAGAATCTTGACGGAGAATGGACATTAGTTAAGGATACTATTAAAGAAGTGTCTATGGAGGTACTGGGTGAGCGCCCCCGGCGCAGAAAGCAGCAGCATTTGTCTCAGGAGACAAAAAGCCTTATTGCAGAACGCAGTAAGATTAAACAGATGGCGCCCAGTGACAACAACAATAGGAGCGAGTATTCTCGGGCCAACAAACTTGTCAAAAAGAGCTGCAGGAAAGACGACGAGAATTGGGCTCTTAGAGTTGCAGCAGATCTGGAATCAGCTGCTGTCCATGGCCGGCAAAGGGAAGTCTGGCAACGGATAAAAACACTGTCCGGTAAGAAGAATCGAAAATCAACTGCTGTAAGAGACAAATCCGGGAAGTTGATTGCTGATCCCTCTGCTCAGAGAGAGAGATGGGGAGAACATTTTTCGGAGCTATTAAACCCTCCTCCCACGAATGCGGACCTGTCTGACCTGGACCATCTTGAAGTGGTTCCATGCTTTCCTTATCTTGGTGATGGTGATGGTCCCCCCACTAGACTTGAGATTTTAAACTGTCTTAAAAAATTGAAGAACCACAAAAGTGCTGGGATCGACGAAATCTCTAATGAGCAGTTAAAGTATGGGGCAAGTGGTCTTGTGGATAGGATGGAGAAATTGTTCTCTAAAGTTTGGAATTCAGAAGCAGTGCCTGACGACTGGTTGAAAGGCATCGTGATAATTGTACCAAAGAAGGGTGATACCTCTCATTGCTCCAATAATAGGGGGATCACTCTAAGATCTACAGCATCTAAACTGTATCAAATCATCATATTACAACGCATGAGTGACGGTTTAGAAAGTTTGCTACGAGACAATCAGTGTGGGTTTAGAAAGAACAGATCATGCATTGATCAGATTTATTCACTCCGCACTATTATACATAACTGCATTGAATATAATCTCCCCCTGTATGTAAATTTTGTGGACTTCAAGGCAGCTTTTGATTCCATCGACAGGAATTATATTTGGAAAGCTTTCAGTCATTATGGCCTGCCATGTAAATACATTCGAATAATACAGGCATTCTTTAATGGAACTGTTAGTGCTGTTAGACACAATGGTGAACTATCAGAATGGTTTGAAGTAAGTTCAGGCAGTGGCCAAGGAGACATTCAGGGTCCCCCACTTTTTAATGTCTGCCTCAATGTGGCTGCTGAGAGAACAGAAAGCAACAAAGTGGTGTCCCACGGAGCGGTTCTTCAAAGATCTATCAGTCCGCTTGTTGAGGATATCACTGTGTTAGATACAGATTATGCAGATGACATGGCTGTACTGGATAACAGCGAGGAAGGTCTTCAAGAAACAACTGACCTTTTGTGTATGTATGGTGCCCAGGGAGGTCTTAGAATCAATGGTAAAAAGACTGAGGCTATGGTCATTGGTAAAGCAACCTCACAACGGCCATACACGAAAGAAGCCACAGTGAACATCACTGTTGAAGACACGCCAGTGCAGCAAGTTAGTGACTTTACGTACTTGGGTACAATTATTTCCAGCGACGGTACTATCGACCGTGAGCTGTCAGCTAGGATTCAGAAAGCTTCCGGAGCCTTCAATCAACTGAGTAATATATGGAAAAACCGCAACATCCAGTCTTATACAAAGATCAGGATTTATAAGGCAGCGGTTTTGACAATATTGTTATATGGTAGTGAGGTTTGGAACACAACCAAAAAGCAGCTACATCGCTTTGAGGTGTTCCATCAGCGTTGCTTGAGGAGAATACTTAGAATAAGATGGCTCGATCGGGTTAGAAACACTGAAGTGCTGGAGCGTGCAAAGATAAATCCAGTAGAGACGTTCATAGGAGCAAACCGCCTGCGTTGGTTTGGCCATGTCACCAGAATGCCAGACACTAGGCTTCCTAAGTACCTGCTTAACTGGACCCCTGCCCATGGGAGAAGATCTAGGGGCCGTCCAAGAAAGAACTGGAGGAAATTTTTGCTGGAAGATGCTGCAGCGTTTACAGGAAACACTGACATAGACCTAGAAGGAGCGAGCGAGATGGCTAGTGACCGCAAACTTTGGAGGGAGATGATACGTCACAAACGGGAGTTCATTGGTGCAGGCCACTCGAATGATTGAGGAGACCTAATCAAGTAAGTAAGTACAAGTAGAAGTAAGATTTATTGTTATTAAAGATACCTAACACAATGAGGATTACAATGTTACCAACTACCAAATCTGTGAAGTATCAGATAGTATTTGAAATTGAATATTTTTAAACAATTACCTGAATTCTTCCAATACTGTGAATATACTGGGGCACATACAGAAAGGTAGCACCAAGACCCCAGTTAATATTCTTCCTGAGCAACTCTCCCATAACCAAGAAGAAGAAGACCATCTCACTGCTGACAGTCTCTCCAGTAAGGTATTTAGTAAGTAGTAGAGCCAGTAGTCCAACTAGCGGTGAAGCCTTCTGTATAGCTATACTAGAGCTCTTCAGCAACATAAAGGTACTGATGTACTTCGTCTCTAGTGCTCTTACCTAGAAGATATTTCCATATCTGTCTTTGTCCGTAATATTTAACAACATCATGGTTTATTGATTATGGGTAGAGATAACGATTAAGAGATAATGACCCTGCTACCTACTCGAAATATGAAGTTCTTGAAGACAGACTCCCACTTGTACATCTTTATAATCTTCATTGAAGCTATAGTCTCCCCTATCAGCTTTATCCTCTTGTCTGTGTGAGCTACTGTTTTCCTTCTGTCGGATCGGAAATAACATGTCAGATCAAACAAATGTAAACTTTGTCAATTTCGGGATTTTGAAAACCCACAAATTGATACACACTACTGTGGACAGTGTTTAGTGTCTACTGACCTACAGGTTGGTCACTTAACCTACGAAAAAGGAACAGAAACAGAGCTGGCTAGGGAAAGGAATATGAAATATGTTTCAAACCTGCAAACTTGAATTCCTTTTCCGATGTAAAACTGAAGAGGAACAAAAAGGAACACGGCGCCAAAAGCTGTGAGTGTGGCGTATAACCCGATTGTGTAGTAGGAAAGAACGAAGGATGTTGTTAGCGTCAGTGGGACGTTCAGCACTGCGTGAAGAGGTACTAAACCCTGTAAAACATGATGTGATAGCACCCGATAGCACCTGATAGCACCTGATAGCACCTGATAGCACCTGATAGCACCTGGTACAGTGTTCAAAATTTAAAATTCCCCCCAACTCCGGCCCCCCTCCCCAAACAGTTGTGGACGTAATCTTTCCAAGGTACAGAAAATGTTGATATATTGTTACTTGTTAGTTTTCAGTTAACTGTAGTTAAACCCACCTCGTTGAAGCGCTCAGCGTCGTTAGACATTAGTGTTATCACGTGACCAATACTAGTTTTACTAAGGGCTGAGAAGCTAATCCTGCACGCCTGAAAATTGAAGTATGTGCTAGAGATGACCTGATGACGTGTGAGGTGGTATTGAATAAATATTGGTGAATACTTTTCCTAGAGTCACCTTAAATGTTTAACAATGTTGGACTCGACAATTGTGATCCTGAAATATGGCTTTCTTTTATGTAATCAAATTTAGAAAACAGAGATAAGAAATTGTAAAAATATGATTCAACTGTGATCTTATTTTCGTCATGAATTTTTAATTTAATTTGATTCAAAACCTAGAACATATGATTTGGTTGAAAGTTATCTTATATTTAGTTAGTCTTACCTTATTTAATTGATAACGTTTCATAAGTAATGACTCAATTTTGTGAAATTGTAAAAATTAAATGCCATCAGAACAGATTAGGATTATATACCCTGTTCCAGGTACCTACCAAATAACCGAATATTACCTAATTTACCATGGTAATAGAGTGGGAGCTGGGATATCAAGGGTGGTAAACACGGGTTTTTAGTGCACATAACACATAATTAAGCTCTGGGATCCACCAATGAACAGTTTAAAAATTTGATAAGTTAATCTTATCCTTGCAAAAAACAGCGAGTGTTGAATTTACCTTATCGTAGACTAGAGCAGAGGCCTGGTTTCTTAAAACTTTGCCTAACTTCTCCAAATTCCAGTGCATCACACTTTTGAGACCAATGTAAAGAAGATTTATGAGACACATGGCACAACAGTAAATCACAACTTCACTGCAGGTCAACTTTGATGCAGAGTCAAAATAAGAGGAAACTTTGGAAACTAAAAAAGCAGGAGCAAGAAAGAAGAAACTCTGCGATAAACACATTAGTGTAATAGGAAAGATAAGCTTAGCATTAGCTTTTAAAAAAGCTCGAGGTAGAGAGGGGGATTTCTTCTTCAGCTCAACATTCCAGTAATATTTAACAAGGTCTGTGACACGTCTAGATTGGAGGTTAGGGTGACAGGGAAATATATCAGATTCTTGTAGTGGAGCTCTGTAACCCTTCTTCATGAGATCTTGTATCCACAAAAAGAGGATGCGACTGAGAAAAGTAGCACTCTGTTCAGGATTAGTAGGGTGGGAAGGGTGGATTTCTTTTTCTTGAGAAGTCATCAGTAAATATCCACGCTGTGAAAGGAGTAATTGCTTGAGGTTAGACAATCAAGCGGAGATAGATCAGTGATTACTGTAAAAAGTAAAGGAGATTCTAAATGTTCAGTGGACAGCGACCCACAAGATTGACTGTTACTAACTATAAACTACAACGGATAATCGATACTATTAAACAATAAACATGGCAAAGAACAAACAAAAAAAGCAAATTTGAGCAGTATTTTCTGTGAAGCCTGAAATATGATCCTCTCTAGTCACGTGAATAGCAATCCTTTCTGAACCCAGGTATAAAGGCATTGTTACTTTACTGCTACACTTTAAATTTGGTATTTTAGATTTTATCTTAAATTTTACACTCTGACAATACCTATCTATCATCGTTTAGAGGTTTGAGCAGTTGAGAATTTATGATTGAGAGGGTAATATTTACAACTATTTTACAAAAAGTATGATATTAGTATCAACATATTATTGTAAATAATAATGTAGGGCATGATTATTCATGAGGATAATCGACACTGTTCTCATTAATTTATACCTTTACATTGAAAAGCCTATGATATAAATTAAAAGCAGACTGGGATATCAGATAAATTCTGAGCATTATTGAAAATAAAAAATAAAAAATAAAATAAAGAATGGTTTCGATGAAGATTTGAGTTGAACAGTTATGATAACGGTTTTATAATCATGAATACTCTTCAAATAGCCAAGCTTCCAGCACTATAAACGAGAAAGATTGCCAAAAAAGTGACGAATGCTGCAAAAATTGTCTTCTGAAGTAGTGAATTTTTCCTAATTTAATCATAATATATTTAATCACAAAATTCAAACCAAAACTCCAATATCCGTAATATGACGTCAAGTAAATAATGAAATAGGTAGTCAGATTTGCACGTGCAACCAGAACAGACTAGTATAATATACGCTGTACCTACCAAATAAACTAATATTACCTAAGTTACCATGGAAATAGGGTGGGCGCTGTGATCTTTAGAGTGGAAAAGACGGGTTGACGTCAAGTAAATAGTGAAAAAGATAGTCTTTGCACTTGAAATTACCTCCTACGCATCAACGATAGTAGGTGATCACAACTTCACTATTTAATATTGAACAGTGAAGCTGTGATCTAAAGTTGTGATCTAGGAAGGTCGGCAAAAATGGCATGGTGTGTCACAAATTTGTGTTTTTAAAATGTTTGATTTGATCCAAGTACCCAAATAAATGATTAGTTGATTATTTATTAGCAGCGTGGTTCTTTGGTTCTCCTCACCTTTCAGTCAAACCAGCTAAATTACAACATGTTTTAAAATAACATCGAGATCTTCAAATTGAAAAAATAGAAATTTTAGAATGAAGAAATAGACACAAATAGAATGAACCCAAATTATTGTATTTAGATTATGTAATGATTGATAATAACAGACAGTACCAGAGCTTCATATAACTGAGTCTTGTGACGTAGCCCTGGCTACAGGTGCCGCATCTCACTGTCAGATTAAAATACAGACTGCTAAACGAAAATAGTTTGAGACGTTGCGAACAGGATATTGAGAAACCGCTAACGACTTTATGTTGAAACCTCAAAATGATTCATCGTCAAGAGAAAATAAATTAAATGAACTATCAGCATTCTCAAAGCTCCAGTTATTATTAATTAAGCTATCATTGAACCTTTCCTCTCTCAGGATGGCCGTTGACAGTTAAACCATCAAAAATGTTTTTTTGATGGCGACTGGGACGTAGCTATTTGTCTATGTTACTGAAGGAAGTTGGGACAAAGAGGAACTGAGAACTCTGATGCGAAACAGTACGGCAGTGTTAAACAAGGAACTGAAACCGAAGGGTTCCGTTCAGGCCTTCACACTTTCTTTCTGTCTGGTTCTAATATAGTAATATACCGCTACAATAATGACTTATATATAGATTATAGGGATATATAGTAATTATGGAGAGGTTATCAAAACAAAAAACTAATTATGGAGAGGGTTATCTAGCGTAGATCGAATTTGTTACATTTTTATTAGGTTATATATCTACGGAGTAATTTGATTATTTCAGTTCTGTGTTGAAGAGAGACGCGCTACATACTCAGGACTTACTACATACTCAGGATGCACCACGTACTCAGGACGTACTACATACTCAGGATGCATCACCTCCTCAGGACGCACTACATACTCAGGATGCACCACGTACTCAGGACGCACTGCATACTCAGGACGCAGCACGTACTCAGGACGTATTACGTACTCAGGACGCATCACGTACTCAGGACGTATTACGTACTCAGGACGCAGCAAGTACTCAGGACGTATTACGTACTCAGGACGCACCTCGTACTCAGGACGTATTACGTACTCAGGACGCAGCACGTACTCAGGACGCACTACATACTCAGGATGCACCACGTACTCAGGACGCACTGCATACTCAGGATGCATCACCTCCTCAGGACGCACTACATACTCAGGATGCATCACCTCCTCAGGACGCACTACATACTCAGGATGCACCACGTACTCAGGACGCACTGCATACTCAGGACGCAGCACGTACTCAGGACGCACTGCATACTCAGGATGCATCACCTCCTCAGGACGCACTACATACTCAGGATGCATCACCTCCTCAGGACGCACTACATACTCAGGATGCACCACGTACTCAGGACGCACTGCATACTCAGGACGCAGCACGTACTCAGGACGTATTACGTACTCAGGACGCACCACGTACTCAGGACGTATTACGTACTCAGGACGCAGCACGTACTCAGGACGCACTGCATACTCAGGACGCAGCACGTACTCAGGACGTATTACGTACTCAGGACGCACCTCGTACTCAGGACGTATAACGTACTCAGGACGCATCACGTACTCAGGACGTATTACGTACTCAGGACGCAGCACGTACTCAGGACGTATTACGTACTCAGGACGCACCTCGTACTCAGGACGTATTACGTACTCAGGACGCAGCACGTACTCAGGACGCACTACATACTCAGGATGCACCACGTACTCAGGACGCACTGCATACTCAGGATGCATCACCTCCTCAGGACGCACTGCATACTCAGGATGCATCACCTCCTCAGGACGCACTACATACTCAGGATGCACCACGTACTCAGGACGCACTGCATACTCAGGACGCAGCACGTACTCAGGACGTATTACGTACTCAGGACGCAGCACGTACTCAGGACGTATTACGTACTCAGGACGCACCTCGTACTCAGGACGTATAACGTACTCAGGACGCATCACGTACTTATAGGCGATGAACAAAATTGTCAAAAATTGAAAAATTGTGACCTATGATTACTTAACGAGGTTTTGGATCAAGATTACTTTTTATTTATTATGTCAAAATTATTTAACAACAATAAAAGTACATTTATTTTTATTAGACTAAAATATGTTGACTATCTTCACAACAAATGAACAAAAACTTCATTTATAAAGATCCTACCTTGTTGTATACCAGAGAGGACAGTTGGATTCTCAGAGAAGGTCCAAGTGTATGGAGGTTCCAATACAAGAAATTGCGCAGACCTATAAAGAGAATGTTAGCTATAAACATCATTCCACCGTACATTAGGGCTTCCTTTTGAGTTGTGGTAGAGGCTGGGTCGAAATAGGAGGAAATCCTGCCGATGAGTACAGGTGGGGCCAGGAAGAAGAAACCTTCCAGAAAACATTGCGCGAGAATAATGCAGAGTTCCTTGGCATTGGACTTGAACAACGCTCTGGTTAATGAAGGTGAACTTTTCTTCAGTTCTTTGTCCCAGTAGTACTTTGTGCGGTCGGTGATAGTTTTTGATTTATATTTAGTGTGGCAGGCAAATACGTCGGATTCTTGTAGCGGAGCTTTGTAACCCTTTTTTAGGATATCCTGAATCCACCAGAAAACACATCTGCTGAAAAAATTAGCATTTTCCTCCGGGTTAGGACGCAGTGTTGTAGCTTCATTGTCTTTAGGACTTGTCATGAATACTGCAATAGTTAAGTTAGTTGGGATTAATTAGAGGACATAACATGTTATCCTTACACAGTACACGCTAATTGTGTAACATATGTCTGGAGGGGAGGGAGAGGGGGGAGGGGGCTCTTTGGCAAGCAATCATAAAACCAAGATTAGACTAATTTTACCACTCGATACCTATCTTTAGCAAGAAGCTGGATTAAAGTTGTGCAGATGTTAAATTGTAAGGTGGATAATGAGTAAATGCTATTCAAAATTATATTCATAATAATACACTTATGAATTTATTTTACATTATATAGTAGTTTCTCTCGGATCAGTACTTACTTTGCTATATATAGCAATAATAATATATATAGCAATATATAGCAATTATAATATATTATACAAGCGAAATAATGTGGTCGAATCTGGGATCAAAATAAGCTTTCATATTGCATAATATCAATACAAATATTATACTCATAATCCATATTCCAGTTTGATCTGTTTTGCAGAATTGGTCGTTTAGTGAGGGACTTTACCATGCCTGGTTAGCGGTTGGAAACTGTTTAGAGGCAAAAGGTCGTCTTTATGTCAAATAATGTTTATCAAGAAACTAACCCGGAAAATCGCTAAATAATTAAATACCTGATGATAAAACCTGATATTAGTGTGAAATACAAGACTATACAACTTTTTTGCTGGAATGATTGTCTTGCATTTTTCGCATGTCAAGTAAAAACATAAGACTCTTAATCATACTTCTTTCCTGCTTTCTTTTTATTCAGTGGGCCTCACCGTTATGATGTTAGACTTTTGTTGAAAATCGGATTTCTCCGTTTGGTGCTGTTTTTCTTTGTATAAGCAGGTAGTTCGATAAAATGATAATGTAATTATTTACTTGGTACTCTTTACAGCACAATAGATATGACCTACTATCAAAACTACTACGGAATAGAACTGTCGACTTACAAAGCACTGGATAGATTTTACATGTTCTTCATTACAATAATGGCACTGTTTGGTGAGTGATTAATTAATATTCTTATACTATCGGTGTTTCCCTAGTCCATATATTCCCTACATTGCGATCGATTTGCAATTGAAACCACTGAGACACAAATCTACACTATTGATTTACTGAGCAGTAAGAACAATATCATAATTTAAGATCAGTGTAATGGAGACTAGCATTCTTGTACAATGCTGTACAGCAGTGAAGATGTGAAACATATTGCACACCAAGAAGAGACAAATGACAACCTAATGAATGACTTCCTCTACAATTCCATATTGCAGGAGTAATCTTCAATTCTCTGCTCGGTTTGGCTTATCTGAGAAAGCAGTGGTTCACAAAGACAGGTGATTTTGGCACCACTCTGTACACTCACCTTACCTTCAACAATCTAGTGAAGGTATATTCACTGTGTAGTAGTATCTGATCACACTTCAACGTATTTAGGGTAGACAACTATGAGGTAAGTATAATAATTTTGCAACTAATTTATTTTGTATAAGTAGGAAGTTTTGTTGGGTCAATTGTATGCTGTTTTTAATTTTCAGTCCATTGTTGCTTTGCTTCATGGAGGTTTGGCTCTACAAACGAATTGGGTATCATCCACCTACTACAAAGTTCAAGAGAGATCAATCTCCACCATGAAGAACAATAACAGTTTTGTATATTGCAATGTTATGGGACCCATTCAAAGCATTGTAATAGTGCAGGTAATTATGATAAATGCATCTTACTTACATACGATATTGAGATATTGAGATACCGATTGAATCTGATCTGGAATTTGTAAATTGAAGGAATGTCACAATTGTGCTAGTATACTACTGTTTAAATAACCTCATCTAACTTTCAGGGGGTGCTACTCTTGAGCTGCCTTGTCTGCTTTAAGGTTTTAGACAGGTACTCTCAATATATCCGCAGTATTTTGAGGAGAAGAAAATACTTAGCTAATATCATCATTTCGTGTAGCTGGATAATAAGGTGAGCTATGAATAATACATTCTAAGAATGAATCCTACTTTTGGAAAGTTATTGAATTCCTGATTCTTAGTCTATGTAAACTAAACTACCCACTTTGCAGTGTTACTGGGGCGCTGTGTACTTATGTGGTCTCAGAAGCATATTACATGGACAATTTATCTGGATTTTGCTACACTACAGAAAACAAGACGATTCCTGGCATTGGAGTTTTCCTCTTCTGCTTGCCTCCGCTTATAAGCTGTGCAATCATCCTAGTGATGCTTGTGGTCTTACTTTACCAGTAATTTAATATGTTTCAAAATAAGATATTTTTATATTTACATTGAAAATTCTTTAAACTGGACTCCTCAGGAACAAAAGGGGTATAGAGAGATCCACACGATCCCAATCCAGTATCCTTAGCCTCTCAAAAAACATGTCATTGCATGATATTTCCTGCAGGTACATCCTACAGCGAAAAGAAAGAGAAACAAGAGAGCACACTGATTCTACCAAGCTGATAATTATCCTGATATACACAGTTATATTCTTATTGTGTGAAGGTCCAATATGGTTATTTTATTTCATATACAACTGTGAAGAAGGGGTAAAATGGATGCTGAATTCAGATGATTTGGTGGGTTAATTTGTAGACAGTCAGTTAATAGTTGACAGTCATGTTGTCCCTATCAAATGACAATCATGCTTTACATATAAATTAAATTGGAGCTATTTAAAACTGGTGATGATTGTGATCCTGAATGATACTAATAATTGACCATCTATACAATTCTACATTAGACCAAACAAAAAAATATTTTTGATAACAGTAACTGACAAAATCTTTCAGAATGATTACTATGTTGGATTGTTCTATTATCATTATGTAAGCTCGGTCCTGAAAAATGATTTTGACTACGTAGGCCAAAATCTTTATATGGCACTCCGATATTATCCAATGTGAGTCATTTTATTTCTGTTACTCACTTAATACTACTAAATACTACTTTATGGCCATGACCATATTCCTAATTATGGTCAAGGTCATTAATCTTTATAAAATTCAGTTTCAATGAAAAACAACAGTAAAATATTGTTGTAGCATTAGTACTAAAAACTTTTCTCATACAATTTCAGGTATGTGCAGTTGACACTAACAATAGAAACCTTCATCCAAACAGCCACCCTGCTTTTTGTTCAGCACGATATCTTGGATTGGCTCTACAAAATCGTTACAAACAGAAGTTTTGTTCGCTCTTTCACAATGGTAGAACAAGGAAATACGAACAATGACATTTTACATGAACCTTCCAACGACCACTCTGAAACAGCTGCTGATCGACCTTCAATCTAAATCTGCGTTCTCAATTTGAGTCAGTTAGACTGTAACAAATTTGACCCTATATAAAAACAGACATGCAGTGCCTGGTGTTACAATAACGGCCACCAACTTATTCCTTAACTTTTAACATCTACGATTCCTTACAACAAAAGTTATTGGTTCAGAGATCTAGTTAGTATAAGTTCAAAGTTGACACTTCAGCCAAAATTGGCTACATAAAGAAATTAACGTTTGATTATTGTTGATTCTCTAATCACTAATGCTGAATGCACTTTAATTAGCTACTCAATGCACATTTTTTCAATTGTAGTTCACTATATTGAATGAAATATAAATATGTTTTTAAATTCATAATAATTTTAAAGTGATGCTGTATTAATGTAAAACCAATTTGATAGACAAATATAAAATAAGCGAAAAGTTGTATTTTCTAGTCTTGAGATCATTGATTGACGATGTTTATCTTATACAGCTCGTACCGACTTAATAGTAATTTGGGGTTGCAATAAACATTTTTGATGCGCGGCGCAACCTAATATGCAGTAGTGCAGTACTATACATTGCAATACAATATTTTTTTCGTGCATGAATATTTGCTCATGCATTCATTTATAAACCATGTATGAATATATAATCTAACAAATATGTTATCCGTGGCCGTGCCTAGTTTCGCGCGCTTATTAATGATTAAGGCATGCCTTAATCATTAATAAGCGCGCGAAACTATTGAATGTTTAAAATAAAATTTATTTGAACGGGTGATATTGCAATTGGTATTATTAACATTGTCAATGAGTTACGTGTACGAATCAATTCGACCCGCGGGTCATCTAAACCTACAGAAATTAATTTAGTGGGCCGCGCTCAGCCTGTCATTCCGCCAAATTTCTATTTACGAACATAATAGCCTGAGGTCCTTTGTATCACGTGGTGACCCCCACGGTCGCTTCACTATAGTAGCGTCTTCGACGCTACAGGGGGAGCCGCGCACTTCGTGCGCGGCGGGTCATACAACGTATGACAAGAGGTCCCCAGGTGAAAATAAATAAAATCATAAACAATTTTTTGTCGTTTTAATCATTTGTTGTTTAATTTTTAATTTAGGTTTTATTTCAATTTTTTATAGAATTTAAATCCAAGCCAATTAGCTTGTAGCTACACAAAATTAAGTCATTCTTAATTTAATTCATAAATATTATATTAATTTTATTTCGAGAAATCGTGTGTGAGGGTTAAATGGGGAGCTGGGCAATGGTTGCTCTATCCAGAGCCCTTGCTCTTGCAGTAGCACGCGCCCGCCTCACGCCGCGCCTTGACTTGTGAAACAAGTGAAGGGCAATAGTACGGCGAAAAAGCAAAAATTCAATAACTGGTCACCGTAATGGGTGCCACATGCCTAGCATGAAATATTTACCTACTGTCCTACTGAGTTGCATTTGTGTAGGTCTGTAGAAGCATTAGAATATTTAACGCGTGAATACTGGATACAATAATTTAAAAAATTCAAGTTGCAAATTCCATTTTGTAGGTTTATAACTTACGAGGACGCACGCCGAGTTGGACTCGTCGACGGTCCCTAATAAATGAAACAAGTATTTTACAAGTATCACCCGTTAAATTCCGTTTCGTAGTTTTTTTAAATATTGAGGAAGGTAGTTCGGATCCATATTTTTTATTTTGAAAAGCATTTGCCATTTGATTCGAGTAAACCGG